ATAGGAACTAGATAGTTGAATCAACTTACTAGCGGCCTTTCACAGTCCCCGACAACGAGCCCGAAGTCTGCCTCCCCTGACCCCTCAACGATACCTCGTCCGCCTACGGCGTCAAGGAAGCGCTGTACACGCTTGCGTGCCAGCCTCTCACCGTCGACGCGGCGTTTCCCGTGGCCATGCATGTCTGCCGCGAGGCCCGCTACGCGGTGCAGGACCGCGTGCGCTTTCGCGCGTCTCACGCGGCGGGCTGCCCGACGCCGTTTCGTTGCTTCTGGCCAGAGCTGGACGTGGTGTACCTGGGCAGCCAGGGCATCTACTTGATGCACCTGTTTGTGTGGCCCGACAGCCGCGTGTTTGACTCGTCCTCGCTGGAGCCGAGCCGCGAGCGCGACGAGCTGCTGAGGCGGCTTCTGCAGACGCTGCTTAGGACGCGGCCGTTTGCCGCGGCGGCGGTGCCGGGTCATGCGGTCATGATCAAGGAAGTTTTTTCGGCAGTCGTGGGTGGGCCAGCTGCCGCGGCCGGCCCGGGTCTTGGCTGTGTTATGTGGTGCCGACGGCCAAGAAGCTGAGCGAAATGGACCAGGACGCGGTGCATGCTGCGTTTGTGCCGCTGGGAAGGCGATGCCGTCTAGCGAGTATTAACAAGCGCGACTAGGGCGGTGTTTGGGTGCCAACATGTTGTAGCAATTGTGCCGCAGACTTGCGCGCCATCGAGTTGATTTCCAGCTTGCCTTTTATCAAATCGATAAACGCACCAACTTCAGTCTCTAGCATATTATGAGGCCTACTAAACGGCTTCCCTTCGCCATTCAGCAAGTGCTCAAGGCCCGTCGGCTCTAAGCTAGGGATCCGAAGAAGCTTCCCTGGAGATTCAAGCATATTAGTTCGATGTACATAGGGCGGGGGTATACCTTGTTCATCAAATAATTCTACGGAGCGACGCCCCCTCCCAAGTAGGCCGGACGCGGCCGAGGACTTCAATGATTTTTACCAAGCGGTCATCTTCAGCAGTGCAGGTCCCCCTTGCTGAAACTTCTCCAGAGAAGAGAGTGATACCTTGGACAAACTCTACCACTTGTTTATGTTGGGCCAAGTCGTCAGCATTTAGCCGCACATCATGACAGTTTACTACCTACGAGGCAGCCAAGGCTCTAATATCAACACCGGTATCCCAGGGGGCGCCAATGGTTACTCTAAGTGCCCTCAGCGCAGGTATTGGATTCGCTCTGACAGATGTTTCTCCCGCCAGGAAGCTAGGTGCAAGGTGAGCAGACTTTCTGGCTAGAATAGGTTGATGGTCACGTACCAACGCCAAAGTCAATTATGCTGACGTGAAGCGAAGCCATTTCGGAGACGGGCTGTGTCGTGATAACCTCTCGAAGTGTGACCATCTCGCCATTTTGGCGATCTATCATGCGTGGAGGAACAGAGTTAAGGTACTCTAAAACATTTGAATTTGGGGTTTCTAACTCCAACAATATATTCGTCGCCTTAATCTATTATCATACTATCGCAGCAACCAACATCCAGCCACTCCATCTATGTAAGACGGCCCAATACCGTGGTAATCCCCGCATTCCGTGTTCCCCTCTCTAAAGCAGCATTGGCCGAGGAAAAGTCCCCTAAATATTACAGGTGTATACGAAGCGAAGCCATTGTGCAGAATCAGTGCCGCGGTGCCCATGGAGCTGCATCACCAAGTCTGTCCGACGTAAAACCAGCGCTCCCCGGGTGGCTTATGCCGGCCTCGGTTTGCCGTTGAAAAGAAACAGCGCGCAGCCGTTCTGCTTCATGAGGTGTTAGATGCAACTTGAGTAGCTCCTATATTAGCGATGTAGAGGAAAATTGCTAAGGAACTATTAACTTACATATGCCTCTATAAGGATTGCATGCAGTGCTAGCGCCACAAGGAACGCCATCCCAAAAGTCATGCCAATAGAGGCCGTCACCTCGACGGGATCGTTGCTATTCGCATTTGCCGCCACAGCAACACGCTGATCTAGATTCTTGCCAGTGTAAAACGCTTCGCATGCTGGATATAGCGTCATGGTGTAGTTTTCGATGCCGCCAAAGATATAGTCAATCTGTTTGCACAACCGAGTAGTGTAGAATCCATTTCTGCTGATAATATTACCAGGGATCTGTAGAATGATCCTCAAAGTGATGACAGAAGCGGCCTGGCAAGCAAGTGTCAGCTATATAAGTGTCGAAAAGAAGGGATATAGCGCCTACATAGCTCCATGCACGAAGCATCCACGCGCGATGCTGCTCAATCTGCAGCCGCTTGATGTTGAGATACGCAAGCAACAGCGACACTAGGAACATGACGGCTGCCAGTCCAGTGACCGTCTGCGAGAGTAGTTCGCCACCAAACGCTTTGTCGGTGACCATGAAAGCGCCCGCCATGCTTGTCAGACTCAAAATCATGATGGTGTAGCCGCTGATGCGGTGAAACAACAATGCTTTGTGGCGAATAACAGGCACAAACTGAAAGCCGACGAGGAGGCCGGCTGGTAGTATGGCTGCTAGATGGAGGATGATTCCTATGCGGTACCGGCTACCGCCTCTTCCGCTGTAGTAATAGCATTCTCCGGGAGCAGCACCTGTCTTGCTGCCTGACTTGCAGAAAGTGCCGTCAATGTCAAGGTACATGAGCCGCGAGAGGGAGAAGCCGAGCATGGCGCCCGCTGTCACAAGGAAGAACACAAAGTTGTAGCCGTGGTTAAAGTGAAGGGGCTGGTATAGCTTGCGAGCCATGACTTTGAAGAATGATGGAAGGCCATTTCTTTCATGCGCCTCCCGAAACATGCTGATAGAGAGATTGAATTTTTGACAGATGTAAGTGAAGAGGGATTTGTAAAGTGATAAAGACAAGACGAGCAAAATTGTAAATCAACAAGGACTCGGAGTGCCAGTACATTAAATAGCCTTCATCTAGTCAGCGGTTGTACAACACTGCCTTGTAACGGACGGTATGCCTCGATTACGATTTTCCTATAGTAATTACATGGTACGAATAGTTCCGCATTCAGGTCACCAATACGGCTGGGGCTGGGCGAGAGCTACAGGTCGGTTTTGCTGACGAGCGACTATGTATGTACATACATAGGTATTAGCATGCTCGGAATCAGTGGGCCTGTAGTTCGAATTTAAGTTCTCGCATTATCTTACGGCAAGTACGATTGGTAGCGGCGCTCCCAAGCATCTACCACCTGACATGGCAGCCCAGTGTTGGCGCGCGACAGACTCATGATCCGAGGGATACGATTGGTTGTGGGTGGCGCATCCAGGCATCAGTTCAGCGGCGCTGACGCATGGTCGATCCTAACGGGTAACTAACGAACCAAATCCAGAAAACGACAAATGGGTATTTCAACATCAATTGCGTCGCTAGAGTTTGGTCATGCCCATATCGCGCTACGCAGTGAGCCCACTCACCCACGGATCTGTAGCGGCGTCGTATTTCGCACTCGTACCCTTTTCTTCCAGCAGGCGTGACTGACAGGGAAAGCCAATAACGTCTGAACCGGCCAACGGGCCGCCAAGCGGTTGTGAAAGTCTGTCTGCACCAACAAGTCAGTGAATCTCATCTAATAAGTGGATTTCGTCATCAAATTTGCGGTATAGGGTATCCTTGCCGCTGAACAACGTAGCAATGTCACCACTAGACAAGAAGCTCTAGAAGCGCTGGCTGCGTTTTCTTTTTTTTCGATGGCTTTTTGCTATTGAGTAGAATTTTCTTGTAATTGTTGGAATTTTGTGATGAAAAAAGAAGCAAGTTTATTGTATTGTGGTGGTGTTGCAACCCGCAGGTGCAAGATACTAACTAGGTAACTATCGATAAAGTGGTGACGCTCCATGGCGGTTTCTCTAGATCCCTCACCCTCGAAACCAATGCCGCCATGCCTTGCCTCTTTGCCCAAAACACGTGCAGAAAACCAAACACAGCCAAAACAACAACTTGCCGTGCAGACACAGCAGATCAACGCGAAAACCCCAAAGCAATAACACGGATCATGCCATTTTAAAAGCATCCCTCCAGCCCGCAACTCGCCACTTTACGCGCTTCGACGCGTGATCCTCTCGCGCCTCCAATCCATCCCATCTGCCCCCATGACGTCGCCGACACGCGAGCTGCGACCTCACCCGCTCCCGCGCCCCCGATGACGGACCTCCTCAAGATACTGCCGTCCTTTCCCACGGGGCTCTTCTCCGCGCTGCTGCCCGTTGTCGAGCAGCACGCCCTCTCCACCACTGACCTCCTCACCCAGCACCCCGTCGACCTCGCCAAGCAGACGCGCATCCCGCTTCTCGACCTTAAGCGCTTCGTCGCCGCCGTCCAGGCTTCCTTGGCCGATGACCTGACACCGGAGAAGCCCCTGGCGCCGAAGCCGATACCCACAGGCGCGGAAGAAGAGAATAAAGGGCGCGACGGCGAGGACGAAGAGGGCGCGACAGCCGCCACGCCGACGGAGGAGGTGCCTGCTGCTGCTGCTGCACTTTCTGCCGCGCACACGCCCTGCATCAGCACGCTCGACGAAACGCTCGACGCGGCACTCGGTGGCGGCGTCCCCGTCGGCTACGTCACCGAGTTCGCGGGCGAGTCCGGCACTGGCAAGACGCAGTTCCTGCTGTCGCTCTGCCTGGCCGTGCAGCTGCCGCCGCCGCGCGGCCTCGGCCGACAGGCCCTGTACGTGTCGACCGAGGCGGCCTTGGCCACGCGGCGCCTCGCCCAGATGCTCCCGGCCGCGACAGCGCTGCAGCTAGCCGCGGCGGACGATGACGACGCCGCGCCCGCGCCCGCGCCCACGCCCCCATCTCTCGACAACATCCTCAGTGCAGCCACACCGGACCTCGAATCGCAGGACCACATCCTAGAGTACCAGGTGCCCGTGCTACTGGCCCGCCACGACGTCGGCCTGCTCGTACTCGACTCGGTCGCCGCCAACTACCGCGCCGAGTTTGAGAGCGGCAGCGGCGGCGCGCTCGGCTCTAGCATGGCCGCGCGCAGCGCCCAGCTCGTTCGGCTCGGGGCGCACCTACGGGACCTCGCGCGCCGGCACGGCATCGCCGTTGTCGTCGCCAACCAGGTCGCCGACCGCTTCGCCTCCTCCGGCCAGTCGCAGGGTAGGGCCAACACCACTGCTCGCCTCCCGCACCGCGGGTCCATGGCACCCCCGCCGGAAAGCCCACTCGCCTCGCGCGGCAGCAGACAACAGCCGCCACCGTCGACGAATCTGCTGCAGGCCACGCCCACGTCATCGATGCCTATGCCCACACCCGACGACGGCGGCCCCCCCGCACCGCCCACGCTGCTCCTCGACCACCAGCAGCGGTGGTTCACCGGCTGGGGCGACGAGCCGCGCTCCTCGCACGCGCTCAAGACGCCGAGTCTCGGCCTCGTCTGGTCCACGCAGATTGCCTGCCGCGTCGCGCTCTTCAAGCGACCTGTGTACGGGCGCCCGCGGAGAGTGGCAGCGCCGCTGGACGCTCGCAACGACTGCGATGACGACGGAGGGGCGGACAGGGAGCCTACGCTCAAGTCGTGGAGGCGCTGGATGAAGGTGGTGTTTGCGCCGCACGTGGCCGCGTCGGGACAGGGCATCGCGGACGCGGCCGAGTTTGAGATCACAACGGGCGGGCTGAGAGGCGTCGTCAAAGACGTTGGCAAGACTAAGGGTTGAGCTGCGGCTAAGGTTGGCCTCTGTACATCCCATGAAAGGGCTTGGTTTTAGTTCTTCATGACATGGAGTTTGGTTGGATAGCATGCATTTAGGCGCACTTTGATTGGCATACACGTTGAAGGTAGATAAAACAGAAATTGGGTAACTGGTTGTTTATTGTATAGATCATCAACGTTTTTTCATCCAAAGCCCCTTTCATCTATTGTAACGAAAAATCAACACTCCTTCCAATATGCAGTCATCAAGAAATAGAGCCGTACATGTACACCGACGGATAGAACAAGCAAATTATATACAACGTATCCAAGCTTCAAGCATTTGCGCTTCTGGCTTTACTTGGGATGCGGGAACTCATCAGCCAGCTGCAGCCGCACGCCGACGTTCATGCTGATGAGCTCCTGCACCAGGAGCTTGGCCGCGTAGGGCATCGTCATCTTGGTGACCTCGCGAGTGCTCTTGCACGTCTGGCAGTAGCCCTTGTAGCCGAAGAGGCCGCACTGCTGGCAGATGTCGATGACGACGCCATCGGAGCTGATCATCAGGCGCTCGAGGAGCAGCTGCGACGCGCCGTAGGCGATCAGGCAGTCTCGCTCCATCTCGCCGAGGCGCAGGCCGCCGTCGCGCGAGCGACCCTCGGTGGGCTGGCGCGTGAGGATGGCGCGCGGCCCGCGCGCGCGCGAGTGCATCTTGTCCTGGACCATGTGCTTGAGCCGCTGGTAGTAGATGGGCCCGTTGAAGATGTACGCCTCGAGCGGCTCGCCCGTCAGGCCCGAGGTGAAGTAGTCCTTGCCCTCCCACGAGAAGCCGTGGTCGAGGAGGACCTGGCTCATCTCCTTGAGCGGGTGCGAGCGGAACGCGTCGCCGAAGCCGTAGTCGGGACGGCCGTGGATGATGCTGGCCTTGCCCGTCAGGCACTCGAGCAGCTTGCCGACGGTCATTCGAGAGGGGAAACCGTGGGGATTCATGATGATATCGGGAGTGAGACCATTATCGGCAAAGGGCATGTCCTCGTGGTCGACAATAATGCCTACGACACCCTTCTGCCCGTGGCGAGACGAAAACTTGTCGCCGAGTTCAGGACGTCTCGTTTGTCTCGTTTGGACCTTGACGACCGTGGTATCTTTTTCGGTGTGTGAGATCATGACCTTGTCAATATACGCAGGGTCAGGAATACGATAGTTGACTGCAGAGTCACGGAAGTCGCTGGATCCGCGATCCAAGCCAATGCCCGTAGTGGTAAGGTCAAGCGGGGTCTCCTTCTTGATCATAGACTGGCCAGAAAAGACCCTGCCGCCAACCATGGCGAGGCCATCGTCATCCAGGGCTTTGTGCTTCTCCGTGCGCTTTCGCTGATCGCCCTCACCTTCGTTGACGGGATCACCAATGCGCTCTCTACGACCATTGGGGTACTTTTGCAACTCAGTGGTGTATTTGCGGAAGACTTGGCAACGTCCAAATCCTCGGTCAATAGAGCCCTTGTTCAGCACGAGGGCATCTTCGATATCGTATCCCGAGTACGACATGACGACGACGGTCGCGTTTTGACCAGCCGGCAATTTGTCGTAGTTGACCAGTTGAATGGTCTTGCTGATGACCATTGGTCTTTGAGGATACACCAGGGTGTATAGAAGTGTGTCGATACGGTTGAACTGGTTGTATGCAATGGCGCCAATAGCTTGTTTACCCATTGCACACTGATAAGTGTTACGTGGCGACTGGTTGTGGTGGGGGAACGGGATAAGACCGGCCACAGCACCAAGAATCGTAAAAGGTTCGATTTCAAGATGTGTGGTACCCATGGTTACCTTGTCCTCGTAGATAGTGACCAATGCATCCTGTTCTTCGTTGACGTCGAGATATTCAACAACGCCATTTCGTAAGAAGTCGTCGAAAGTGACTCTTCCCAGCTGCAGTAGACGGAGGTGTTCCGGCTTCAGCTTTTGAACACCGTTTTTCACGATGATGTATGGTCTGCAGATTCGTCCTTCATCGGTGGCGATATGTACGGCGTTGAAATGCAGGTTTATGCTGATGCTGACAAAGGGCGATATCCAGCCGCGTCGACGCATCGTCCGAAACCTTGAGCAGAATCTCTTTGGATATCTGGTAAGCGCAAACGGGGTACCGTTAATATGAATAATGTAGGATCCTTCGCGGTGCATTTCTGCGCCAGAGAAGTTGCGAATAGGCTCGACACCAACATCGAGGGTAAAAACCCATCTTTTGACAGGTTCTTCATCCACGTTTGTGGTAATATGAGTCATAAGAGCGAGATTCTTGACGAGACCGCAGGCTTCACCTTCGGGAGTATCCGAAGGACACAGCATACCCCATTGAGAGGGCTGCAAGGCACGAGGACCCGAGACCTTTCGCGTCTTTTCGAACTGACTGCTAATACGAGTCATCATACCAAGAGCGGCGATGTAACTGAGACGACTTAGGACGTGGGTCACGCCGGCACGATTCATGTTGAAACGCTTGACGCTCCAGTTACCCGTCTGGATGGCTCTGTTAATCCCCATGCCAATGTTGTTTGCATGATTGCTAATCATGTTGACAGCATCCAAAGGGACGGCCCTGTTGTTTTTCTTGAGGAACTTGTCGATGGACATCTTGACTTCGACCATGAACCGCTTGAACAAATCCTCAAAGAGGAGAGACAAAAGCTGGCCAGCAAGTTCGAGTCGTTTGTTTCCGACGAAATCTCTGTCGTCAACGAGCTTGCTATCTTGAGCAGCCATGAGAACTTTGCGCGTCATCATGGCAACGTAGATGGCCTTGGGATAAAAGTCGAGACCCTCAATGGGAACATGTGCGATGATGAGGTTCGCCAAGGCATCGAGGCCTTCTTCGACATTATTTCGGCGGACCTGGGGACCGAATTGGCCTCTTCGCGAGCCCATCTTGACCCTGGAACCGATATACTCGAGAGCCTGATGTTGTGTGAAGACGCCAGCCTTGGTCGCTTCGTCGAAGTTGATGAGAAATTCGTCTTGGTAGCGACCGTCAGCTCCAGCAACGAGCTGCATGATCTCATAGTCTGAAAGACCACCCAAAGCCTTGAGCACGATAACAATGGGGATGCCCTCCACCAAAACGTTGTGTACCAGAACGATTCGGTCCTTCTTCAGAGTGACATTTGTCTTGGACTTTCTTTCGTGTGTGGAACTCGTAACGGAAGCAGAAATAATGTTGTTCTTTTCGTCGGCCTCGACAATGACTCGGTTCTTGCTGAGCTGTTCTTGAATAAGAATGACCTTTTCGGTACCGTTGATGATAAAGTAGCCACCAGGATCGAGCGGACACTCGTTCATCTTTTCCATTTCGGCATTGTTGGCGCCAGACAGTCTGCACTTGGAGCTGCGAAGCATGACTGGCATTCGGCCGAGCGACACATTTCGTCTGATGATCTTTTGCTTGTCACGGATGTATACAATATCAACAAGGATTGGAGCAGCGTAAGTCATATCTCGTAGTCGGCATTCCATTGGTGTCACGTCAGTGGAGGATTTAGCCTCTTTGTAGTCTTGTCGCTGGGGATGGTCGACGCGAATGTCTGTGAATCTGCGGGGGTACAGTCAGTGGTGATGCGCCGGGAGTATCTGGCGCAATAGCAAGTGCTTACTCTAGCCAAAAATTGCTGTCGACATCGCTGCGTATCGTGCGATTTGCGCGTACGATATCCTTGATCTCATGCTCGACGAAGAAGTTGTAGGAATCGATGTGCCTGCGGGGAATGAGTCAATGTGGGCTGTCCGGTTGGCGCAACGTCGGACGGCAAGACGTACTGCTTTACAAGTCCTATAGATAATGTTAGCAAGACTCCGCTTAGACTTTCTGGGAAGCTGTATAGATGCCGTACCTTTGACCTTGAGGAAGGCAGGCAAGAGCTGAAATTTATCCTCATTGGTTGAGATGGGGTCGGTCAGCTTCTTGCCATTGTAAAACGGCTCCAGCAGGGCCTCGAAGCCGTCATCGATGACTGCCATCTTGTCCGTCACCACCCGCGAGGCATCTATGGAGCAGAGCGGAGCGGTAACTTTGTTGTCGGAGGCGCGGAGAATCGAAGACTTTACTGTGCACCGGAATGCTGCGTCGCGATGCTCTCCAAGAAAAAAAGTTGTCGCAGCTTGCTCGATAAGCTCGTCAAGTGGGGCGATAGCAACGGATGTCTGGTGGGTGACGACGAACGACCACCCTATTATTCAAAGCATATCACGAATTGTATTATGTCGAAATACTTAAGCTCTTTGTTTTACCATCTGTCATAGACATTCAGTCACTTTTTTTTAATTTCTGCTCTTTCTTCCGTGCTGCATGATTGCAGGGTTGCAGTGGCTACCCTACAGTTCAAGAGCCTCGAGCCATAGCCTCTGTTGTTGTCAATTATGCTTCTGGTGTTCAAATTGAGCAGAATCTTGTTTCGAGTTGCTCGAGGTATTAATGGAAATATTTTGTGAGGTTATCGGAATGCGTCTTATCTCTAGTAGGTAGCTTTACTGAACGTACGTACATAGAGTATGTTGTTCATGGCAATATAGCTATAGTGCAGAGTCTAAACGAGAGAAGAGAGAGGAAGAAGAAAAACAAGCCTAGTTTTGCTACAAGTCCTTCCTTGGAGAAGAAAGAAAATACAGCTCGAAACCCAAATTTGAGATTGAATTGGTGTTATTGCCAGGGAGCAACGGCAATTGGTTATCTATTGAAGTACTTTGTCTCAACAGTGTTGAGCCTGAGCCTTGACAATTGATGATAATTTTTTAAATTATACACATAGCTAGTCGAATAAACGCGCATGAGCAATTACTTTACAATCATTCAGCTAGTTAGACAATCAAAATTTGCAATGGAGTCACATTTTGCCAGCAAAGCTGCCGAGGACGCAGACGCCACTTGCCTCTTCGTGTGACTTAGCCCTAATATAATCGTCCCAACTGCTTCCCGATGGGATTTGGAGAATCTCAAGACCGTTCTTTAGGCACCCGTGTAGCCGGCTGCACGCATGCAACGCACATGCACTCGCTCCACCAACAAGTTGCTGAAACTGGGACATGCTGTTGTGGCACACAAAAAGCGTCCAAGCAGGGTGATTAGGGTTATTCCGTAGCATAACAAGAGAGCTGGTCGAAGGCCAGCATGGCACCACTACCCCTCCACTGGGGCAGAGCGCATCTAATCAAAATCACAGGAACCAAAAGAGCGATAGTGCCACCAGTATGCGCAACACCGAGAGTAACTAGATTGGTAGACCAGGGGGACAAGAAGAAGCAGCTATGACATAGTTGTGACCCTGGTTTTCCCGTTGCCTTCCATCTGCCAACTACCCCTCACTTGAGCAGGGAGAGAGGTTGGTGATTGACAATTTACCCCTCCATCTTGAAGTGGCTAGAGGAGGGGCTAGGGGTCTCGGTTGGATGTGGATCGGGACGAGACGGACGGCATCTGGTTGGAGGCGAGTGAGCTGCGCAATGCAAGTGAATGGATTCTGGCTGGCGGCTGGGGATCTACTGTTGTCGACATTACGTTGCATGAGGTCGCTGGGATGGTAGTGGATGTCTGGTGGGCACGTGGGCACTGCCGAAGAAGGAGACGCAGAGCAGGAGCACAGTTGCTAGGACTCGGCGGAGGACTCAGTAGATGATCTGATATCGAGGACACGGAAAGTCTGTGCGGGCTAGGGATGGCTGGCTGCCAATCCGTGGAAGAAAGCGTTTGAAAGAAAGGGTGGAGGAACTTGAGTTGGAAGTGGACATTCGAAACTCTTGGCGGCCAGCAACAGAGCCACGGGATAATAATGCTTGAATATCTGCAGGTCGTACAGTTTGATCGATGCTGGAAGAATACATAGCTACAGCTATGTACATACATGAATAGAACCGCGGACTCTTGAGAAGACGGAACTGTTGGCCTTGTTGCGCACTCCACTGTTAGAAGCCAACCGGCGCCACACCGCGCTGGCTAACGATAGGCAGTCCTTTTTTTTTTTTTTTAGTTTTCTTTGATTTCTGAATTCTTGGAAGCAGACACTGCAGCTGCCTCCTTGGAGGCGCATAGTTCGCTCCACTAATGTGACTGTTTCCAAAAAGTCGGTGAAGCTACGGATACTGTAGAGTGGTTTGACAGAGAGCATTCCAGATGAGCAGAAGCGTGGCAAGAAGGGAACACGAATTATGAAAAAAAAAGAAAAAAAAAAAAGGTTGGCAAGTTAGTGAGGGCTTTTCTCTTTCAACACAAGAACTGAGACAGTTAGGGCTGGCAGGGAATATATGCAACAACTCAAGCCAAGTGTGCTGGCTACCGGGCTGCCCATGTACATACATATGCATGTCTGCATGCGCAGCCCTGCATTATCTAGGTTCTAGGTTGGAAGGAGAAGGAGGGCGTCTGGCACCCCTGAGCAAATCACCACTGCCTGCCTGTTCATCGAGTTAGCAATCGTGACTGACAGGGAATGCTGTTAGGGGTCCTTTGGCGGACTTCGCTTAAGTTGACAGAGAGTGCCAATAGTCGCTCGGTTTTCTCATGGGTAATTTGTAGGCGTTGTCTCGCTGTGACAATGTCCGAGACATCACAACCAGTCAACAAGGGCGCAGAACGCCATCATGTTCAGCTGAAGCTGGTAAGCGCCAAAGGAGCGACAAAAAAGGTGTCCGATGGCGGCTGGATGTTTCGAAGGTAGAAAGTAGTCTTGTGCCCAGTCCGCTCGTCGGCCGAAAGCGCCGGCGAACAAGCCCGGGTTTTTTCTGGTTGTCTTATTTGTGTTTGCGTTCACTTGCATCGCGCTAGTAAACTGCATTGCCTGCCCGGGATACCAGACCAAGAGTTGAGAAAATTACAGGGATCCCGTTAGTTGCAGAGGGGGTTGATGAGGCGAAATGCTCGGCGGCGCATCGGGCTTGATGGGAATACTGGAGCCTGGGGAGGGGAGGAGGTTGGGTTTCCAAGGTGAAGACGACTCAGCGTTTCTCCCACTCTATATTCGTAACTCGAAGCAGCGGCGCTACTGCGGCAAGTCAAGAAATTCATCTCCAGGGCCAGAGGGACGTTTCTTGAGCTTGATGAATCAGGACTGGCGGCTGATCAACAAGAGCTGGACGGCATAACCGGTTCCTCGACACGAAGTACCTCGACGGTACATCGAACCTGAGCCAAGGCATCTAGCCGCCCAGTGTGCCACTAATAAATTAGGCCAACAGTCTCAGTCTAGTCTGGACGGCGAGATGCGACCCCGTTGATGTCAATGTCTCTGTGACGAATCAAGCGGCGATCATGCACGCCATCTCCGTTTTGCACAGAAAGAAAGCGACGAGGAATGTAATATGTTCTGGCTGCCCTGGTTCATAAGTGATAACTATCACTGATATCCAGCTCTGGTAGGACAGGCAGCCCCTGCGTGACGAGCCCAGACCTGCGAAAAAAAAGTGGTCATACGGGGCATGACACCTGCCCCCTTGGCGCATTTTCAAATTTATTAAGAAATTTTCATTCGACATGAAGAAGTTGTAGGGCGTCATTGTGTAGTGTTTGTAGCGCAGAAGAACTGTCGACGGGAGCCTGCAGTCCTGATTCTTTCACACTCGGACGGTTTTGCTTGTCGAGTCACCGGGCCCCGAGTCTGGTCTGGTGCCTACTGCGGAGTACCAACCATCGCTACGTACAAAGTTTATCAGTTTCATGTGCAGAGATGTATCGTCACTTCCGAACCCTCAACACACCGCACACCTCGCGCCTCTTCGTTATACTGGTAGCAAGCTTTGTTAATTGGGGTCAATGGAAATAGTGTAGACCCTGCCCTCACACTCACAACTTGGCTCCCCTCCCGACGCTGGTTCGGCGCCCCCAAACCCACAAGGAAACAAAAACTAAACCGCAAGCATGCAAGTGTAGCCGGACCAACACCGGGCCACCCCTCGGCCGCCGCCCCTACGCCCCCTAATGAGCCCGCCCCTACAACAGGCTACCGAAAGAGGCGGCGAGTTAGCTCGGGTACCTGTGCCAAAAATGGGTGTTGCCGTTTGGACTTTTGTTCATCTCAGTCGCTGGTCCAATGGCAGAGCGAAGAAAGACTGTCCAGTGTCCAGGCAGTCCACTAGCCAAAGCCAAAAAGGCGACAGCCTGCTCGCCTGCCTTTCAGTTGATCTGCCGCCACTGGTGACGAGGCTTTGCTGGCACTAGCTACTCGTATGTACACGTACTGGTACAGAACAGGTACTTGCAATTTTGTACGATCTGCTTCCACCGTACAAAGTAACAGGTATACCGACCACACAGACAGAGCGCTGTGGGCTGGGGGGTTTTATGCCTTGAACTCTCTTGGTGGCCCAGAGCGAATAATTAGCCAGGGAATTCTAGGTACCTATGCACCAATCATAACAGGCTTTGATTTTGGCAACCAAAGCCATCGCAGCCTCTAAATAACGGCGGCCGGCTGGCAGCCAGAACAAACCTTAATGCCACGATTTGTGCCACTGTCCAGACATTTAAGGCAGCTAACTACTTGCCTAATTAATAAGGAAGTTATTTACGTCAGTAAATACTGAACAGGCCACCTGTGAAAATGAAAAATAGCTATGCTTTTTTTTTTTTTTTTTGGTTTGAGGGGGAGAGGCTTGCAGACGGCACTGTCCCCGCCTCCACACAATCAAGTCTGGTAAGTAGTTGACATCTTATTCGCCGCCTTTCTTCTGCCTTTTTCTCCCTCCTCTCGCCATTGAATTTCATTACTGCCATCTTGTTCTTTATTGCTCCCAAATATCTCGAGTTACAAGTCGACGACGCATCGCCATAACGCTGTATCCCAGTCAGCGGCAGCAGCAAAGATTAAAAGGGGCCAGCCTGGGTTGAGGTAAGTAAGCTGCTCTGCTATTTATTCTTCATCGATCCAGTCAGAACCCATCTTCATTTTTGGCCACCTGCCTTCTTTCCCAAAACTTCGATGCTGCTCATCGACATTTTTCTCGAGTTTTCCCCTGCCCTGTCTTCTCGCTTGAGCTTTTGTGTGCGGCGGTCTACGGAGGGCCAGGGGGGTGGTGGTGCATGGGGCGGCGGCGACGGTGACACTGCCAAAAAAAAAGGACTTTTAGGCGGATGTGAGGTGTGCGTGTCGCACGACTTCGACATTTGCTCACTCCTCAGAGGCTGCTCCCAGGTTGAGAGGCCTGAACCAGTATCCAGGCAGAAACTCCGACGCCAAACCGCCAGACCGCACACGACCAGCCTCGCCCTTGAAGAGCCGTTGGAGCGAACGCTTGTCCACACGCTTTGTTCACGCACTCTCCGGCCACACATACCCTCAAAAGGAAGTTGCCAGCAGCCAGAAAGGCTAGCCCTGCCCGATATACTCCTCCGGTACGGAGTACAAAGCAGGTACCTTGCCTCGCTGCTGCCAGCTAGCCTGAGCCCCCGACCCTGCCCATCTTTGCCAGGCTCGCTCACAAGCCCACTCCGTTCTCCTGTCTCCAGGTAGACTTGGGTCCTGAGAACAGAGGTTCTTGGCTGCACCACCCCCCAAAGCCCACGCTGCTGCCGCCCATCCCACCCCCCAATCCGTCTATTCATCCATCCGTCCCATCCACCCCGCCTCAACGTCGCCTCGCCGTTCCTGACCTCTTCCCTCCTTCACCGCGCACGCTGACATTATCCTCGCGTCTTTGTTCATGACGGTAGCCTCTTGAGACGCCCAACCCCGCGGTGCCAATCCGGCGTGTACGAGTCTTTTGCCCATCATGGACGACTTGCGTTTCCGCTCCCAGCAGCAGCAGCAGCAGCAGCAGCATCAGCAGCAGCAGCAGCAGCCGCAGTCTAGGAATGAGCTGCCAATCTCCTCTCTCGTTTCACCACCTCGTAACGGCACCTCCAGGATGGTCATGCAGCAACCATCCCCTCATGACCATCGCGCAAACCTTCCTCGCCGCTTCACCACCGACTCCAGCCGCGTCCCGACTCTCGCTAGCATGACTTCGCCTTCTAAAGCCCTTGAGCTGCCGCTCGAGTATTCGGCTCCAAATGTTAGTCCTCCTGCAGTTGCCTCTCAACACTTCCCATCCCAAGCTTGCTTGCGCACAGCCTAGGTGCCATCAGAGGGGCTGCTTCCTTTGCATTAGCCACAACTGACAGCCATGACAGCAAACACTGCACAAGGTTCAATTGGTATGTGGCGTCATCCGACACCATGTCTCTCCATTCTAGCCACCTGAAAATACTCTGGCGCGCCGCATTGCCACCTGCCGAGGCAATGTGCCTGTCGCACCGCGCCGCGCCATTGTGCACGCTTCAAAAAAAAACAAATCAAACCATGGCTGTGCTAACTTTTTTTTTTCGCCGGTGTAGATTGAACAAAAGAAATTGGAGTATGAGAGAATTCGAGAGCAGCGCCGGCGCTTCGAGCTGGAAATGCAAAAGCTCGACCAGCAGCAGCGTCGCGAGGCTCAGGAGCTCGCTCAAATGGAGGAAGAAATCGTTCGTCTCAGCGGCCACCAGTCCGAACCCACCACGCCTCCCGAGTATCGCGACCACAACTCAGGCTTTCCCTCCATGTTCTCGCGACCGAACCGCTATTCCACCTCGAGCCTTACGTCGCCCCCAGGCATCTTCAACCGCCCAGGCAGGTCAGGCTCCCAGGTGACTTCTCCACCATCTGGCATGATGCAGCCTCGTTACGGATATGACGAACCACTCCCCTCGCGATCCGTTCCCACCACTCGTCGAAACAGTGACGACGAGAAGGAAGAGGCCGTTCGTCAAGACCCCTCCAGCCACCGATCTGGCAATGTGTACGTGCCTGGTTCCCTCTCCTCCTGGCACTTGCTGGCTGCAAAGCTCCAAGCGGCGTTAGAGCGTTGCCTGATCAAGTGACGGCTGTTCTATCTTTCTTACCTGTGTGCTGACGTTAGCAATAGCTTCAACCGTTACTCGATGCCAGTTACCAAGTCCAAGACTGGTATGTATGAAGCCAACCTCGACCAGACCAACACGACTCGATTCCTGTTCGGTGATGACGAACCGAGCGCCTTTCCGCGACGTGATACCCCTGATCATAACTTCCCGACACTCGTTCGTCGTGACGATCAAATTGTAAGTTGACCATTTCTATTTGATGCATTTGTCCAGATCTGGCCTCGGCGCGGTATCAGCCTGTCAACATGCCAGACGACCGTTTGCGCTGCCAGCTGCCACCAGCTGCCACCAGCTGCACACTAATGAACTGTGCAAACGGCGACACAAGCACATAATCTACGTACCCGCCTAGACATTTTCTCCTCAGCTCAGCTCACATCACATCACAGCGCGAGCAAGTGCTCTTTGCTGTAACACAACCCCGCCTCCTTTGCCCTTCTTCCTTCTACTCTATTCAACCCGTCATCTTGCGTGCTTTCTGACCTTTGTGTGCTTTTCGTTCAGCTTTCTGCATCTTCTGCTGCCCTCGACCTTGCCTTGTCACCATCGCCAAAGCCTGATGCCAGCAGAAACTGGGGTAATGTTAACCGACATCGCGCACAGCAGAGTCTTTCCTCTTTGAACATCAACGGGAATTCTAGCCAGCTCAGTGACTTCAGTGCTATCGGATCCCGCCCTGCTTCTATGCGACACTCTCTTGATCTCAAGTATATTCCTGAGAGCAGCGACGGGAACCCTGGTGTCATTTCTCCGAAGAGCAGCCACGTTATCACCACTCCCCCCAAGCTCCAGAGCTCCTTTTCCGCTAGCGAGATCCCGACTGTCAAGAGCTCCTCCGGATCCTCCATGATGACCAGTAATGCCAACAACCATGCCCAGCAGCATTTCCATAACCACAATGCCAACATGGGAAGAATTCCTGCTGGTGCGGTACCAACACGCCATAGCCGTGAACTCTCCGGCGACGGCTCCATGAATGTCGGTCGGGACCAGGTTGGGCCTTACCAGTCTCTGCACTCTGCTTTGCAAGCAAGTGCTGCGCCGTTTGGTCCCAGCATGACCTCCGCGGCTCCATTTAGCTCGGCAACCGCCACCTCCGCTTCGACGGCGCCAGCAATGAACGGCATGAATGGTATTGGCGCAATTAACGGAATGAATGGGTACGCTGGCTACTATCCTCCGAATGGCTACCAGAACAACGGTCCTACTGCTGCACAATTTGGTGGGCCAATGCTGGCAGCCGGCATGCAGCAAATGAACCTGAATGGTGTTACATCGGGAAATATGTATCCCGTGCAAAACTTTTCAGGTTACAATGGCGTTCCGTTCCAGCATGGCACCAGTGTACCCCAGAGAGACAGTCAGGCCCGCGTTATCCAGAATCGCCGCCAGCAACTCGACCCTGATGGTGAGCCCCCTTTGGACTATCTATTGATATCGTATCGCGTTGTGCTAATAAACGATACAGCCATGTCTCGCTACCAGAACATGCCTCTCGAATCTTTCCGCTCCCAGATTTACGATCTTTGCAAGGATCAGCACGGCTGCCGCTATCTTCAGAAGAAGTTGGAGGAACGCAACCCCGACCAAGTCCACATGATTTGGCTCGAAACTAACCAGCACGTCATCGAGCTCATGACGGACCCATTTGGTAATTATTTGTGCCAAAAGCTCCTCGAGTTCTGCAATGACGACGAGCGAACCGTCTTGATTCAAAATGCCTCTCAGGACATGGTCCGCATTGCCCTCAACCAGCACGGTACCCGCGCCCTGCAGAAGATGATTGAGTATGTCAACACCCCTCAACAGGTGCACCTTATTATCGAAGCTCTTCAAAACCGCGTTGTGGAGCTCATCCAAGATCTGAATGGAAACCACGTCATCCAGAAGTGTCTTAACAAGCTCACTTCTGCCGATGCGCAGTTCATCTTCGATGCTGTCGGCAAAAATTGCATCGAAGTCGGTACCCATCGCCATGGCTGCTGTGTCTTGCAACGCTGCATCGATCATGCATCTGGGGACCAGAAGCAGAAGCTTGTTCGGGCCATCACCGCCCAGGCCAGGATTCTTGTGCAGGACCCTTTTGGCAATTATGTCGTCCAGTATATTATCGACTTGAACGAGCCAACATTCACCGAACCAGTTGTCGCCACTTTCAAAGGATGCATTGGACAGCTGTCGCGCCACAAGTTCAGTTCCAATGTCATCGAAAAGTGCCTGCGCTGTGCCCAACCTCCGTCCAAAGATATGATAGTTGGAGAAATGCTCGTGCCCGCAGAGATTGAGCGCCTACTGCGGGACTCCTTTGCCAACTATGTTATTCAGACAGCCCTGGAGTTTGCGACTCCCCAACTCAAGTACCAGTTGGTGGAAGCCATTCGACCCTTCTTGCCACAGATCCGCACTACGCCCTACGGACGGCGCATTCAAGCCAAAATCTCGGCCTACGACGGCCGCGGAAGCGCTGCGACCAGCGGCCAAGTCACCCCAGCAGACAACACGCAAGGGCAGATCCCTCTGCGACCAGCCCACGCGAGAGGTGTGTCTGGCACCATCGCGCAGAACAATCTTGCTGCCCACGGGACTGGTGTCCCTAACAACGGTGCCCAAACCGCCCGCCAGAGCTTGCCTTCGTACAATGGCAACGGTGGAATGGCTTCTGCAGTCTCAGTGCAGCCTCCTGTTCAGCAGCCTCAGTTTGGCCGGAATGCTGGCGCCACCAATGGGTCGACTCCGCCGACAACCATGAATGGCGGTGCTGAGAACATGGAGACTCGCTGGGTGTAACTTTATTGGAGACGCATACATGATCGCTCATGACTACTTTGCTTGTACAACATGACGCCCGGCAGGTGTTTGGCTTCAGCTGCTTCTTTGCTGGCCTGATTCTGTTCGTTCACGACTCTGATGAATTCTTTACCACTTGTTTGATTAAAAAAAAAGCAACGCATCGAAGGACAATCGCGCGCTACCGCGCCGCCGATATCCGACAAAGCACGGCATCTTTGAGGATGCTCTGTGTGTACACTACAAGCGGAAAAAAGGAGAGCGTTTTATGAGAAGAGAAAAGGCTCACACTTGGAACGCTCCCACGGCTGCACGCCGTTTTCATTCAATTTTTCTTTATGACGGGAAGGAGCTGCCACTCGTGCAAGAGACGCTTTCTTGCCATGTACTAGATCACACGGATCGATATTGCATAGATACAGCCCGCTTCGCATCACTGTGCTTTTATAACGCCCTTATGTTACTTGCCGTTTCTGCAACTATAGTTTCCTTCTTTTTCTTGTTTTCTTTTGTTTCTGAGGTTGAGTCATTTTTTTTCTCTTCTTTGCCTTGCCTCGGCTTGCAACGGTTCCAAAACCACACCACTTCTTATAGTAGGGTGAGATAGGTTGTGGACAGTTGTGAGTACTTTGGGTGGCTGGACATTTGATTTGTTGTTTTATTTTCGACCTTGGGATGGAAATCTTTCCAATGTACATCCCTGACCGCTCAAAGCCGCTGGATGGAAATTTATATGGCCACAATGATGTGAGCTTCAAAGGTACGCAGTTTATCAGGGGTTGCAGCGTGGAGGGGCGCTCCCTTTCCAATTCTGGCATATTGTATGATTGTTTAGGTATAGGGAATCCAGTATGTATATATACTATACGTATACACGCAAATCTCTTTAGGGGGCTGTGAAGTTTTGTTTGCGTTGAGACCGTGTGCATAGCGTCCATCCATGACCACAGTGGCATGGTCGAAGACCTTGTAGCCTGAGGCTGCGGTATGCACTACATTTCTCGCTGGCGATTCGAACTTATGCGAGTTGCAAGGCGGCGGCTTCTACCAGTATTTGAAGGCATAGGAGATTAAGATTCTATTAGAGGAAGAGCAGCAAAGTAGTCAGTTAATCCATACAAAGTGAGCCTAGACAAAGCTGTCGCGGATCGGTATCCAAGACATGGGCCACGCGACCGACGACGACGACGACAGCACAGGAGACTTGCCCTCGATATCCACACCCGGGGATGTCCTCGTCCTGGCAATCTTCTTCCTGTCAACCTCTGCTCTCTTCTCCGCCAGAAGCTCCATCAAGGCCACCACCTCCTCCTCCAGGAACCGCGGCGCGTACGACTCCAGCACCTCGCAGGCGGAGACGACCGGGCGGCGGTCCAGGTCCAGCACCCTGGCCTCGGCGTACGGGTCGGCCCCGTGCCGCAGGAACGAACCCACCACCGCAATCCAGTCCTCGCAGCCCTTCTTGTGCCGCGCCTTGGCCGCCTCCAGCTCCTCTGCTCCCAAGACTATGTCGTTGTGCGCGGTCGTCGTTGCCGCAAAGTGCGAGGCGGCGGCTGCCAGCGCTGCCTCCCAGGGCGTCGGCCCCTCGTCGTTGAAGGCGAAGTTGGGGTCGGCGCCGCCTGCGAGCAGGTCGGCGACCGCGACGGGATCGACGACGGAGCCGGCGGTGGGGCGCGCCGAGGCGGGTGTCACGGCGCGATGTAGCAGGTGCTGCGCGACGTCCCGGTCAAGCGCGGAGGCATCGGCCTTGGCGGCGGTGTAGTGCCGCAGGCCGGCGAGGCGTGCGACGTCGTGGAAGCTGACGGCGGCGTGCAGCGGTATCAGTACGGAGACTTCGAGGCACCACGCCCAGTGGTGGTGGTCGGTGCCGACCCGCCGGGTGCGCTGCGGCGGCGGCGGCGGCGGTAGGCCCTGGTGGACGCCGCTGAAGCGTGTCTCCCGGTGCGCAATGTACGACGCGGCCAGCGCGTTCTCGGGCAGTGGGGCGGTGGCCTGCGACGGTGGCGGCCGGCGCTGGGAGGATCGCGGGCCGAGGCTCATGGTGCTGAAGATGCCGGACTGGCTGGCCATCATGGACGCGCGGTACGACTGCAGGTAGCTCGTTAGCTGCGACGGCGTCACCGCGGGGCTGGCGCTTCCGTCGGATGCAGTATCCGCCGCTTCGCCGTCGTCGCTGCTCGTGTCCGACAGGTCGTCGTTGTCGTCGACGCCGTAGACGGCGCGGCAGTCGCCTTGGCGGAACTGGTAGGCGACGGCGAGGTCGAGCTGGTCGAACAGCGCGGGGAAGCCGGCGCCGAGCTCCTCCTCGGCGTTGCGGGCGTGCGCGACGGCGTCGGCGACGAGGCCCATGTCGAGCGGCCGCCGGGAGTCGACGTCAAGGCCCTTGAGGCGCAGCACGTGCGACCGGACGAGTGCCAGGGACGGGCTGAAGCGGCCGCCGGCGGCGCTGGCCGTCTGCGCGACGAGCGCCACCTGCACGTCGGGCCGCGCGAGCCAGTCGGACACGGTGCGGTGCAGGACCAGCACCTTGGCGTCGGGCGCGGCGCTCGAGTACTTGCTCTCGTGCGCCTCGAGCAAGCCCGCGCAGGTGCCCTGCAGCTCCGCGTCCGTCGCCTGGCAGCGGGCTGCCACCTCCGCGATGGGCATCCTTCTCACGGGCGCGTCCTCGGCCAGCAGCTCGTCCTCGTCATCGGCGAGGGACAGTTGGAGGAGCGTGACCTTTTCCGGCGCCTGCCTCCGGGCCGCCAGGAAGATCTGGAGGAGCCGCGCCGCGTGCGCGTGGTCCCTATGCGCGATGAGGTGCGCGAACAGGTCGTCCAGGTCGCCGGGGAGGCGGTCGACGTGCCGCCTCAGGCCGGCCACGCCGTCGTCGCAGCTCGGCAGCGCGAGCACCAGCGACTGCACCGCGAGCTTGACCCACAGGAAGACGCCCTGCGACTTGCTGACGGCGTCCTGGATTAGGGTGGACACCTCGGCGGCGGCGGCGGCGGCGCGTGGGTGGTGGAGGAGCTGCCGCATGCGCGGCTGGCTGCACAGGCGGTCGCGGACGTAGTGGCTCAGGTCGCCGTGCGTCAGATCCTGCAGCCGCAGGGTGGGAAGCCCAGAAAAGGCCTCTTCGAAAACGCGCAGCGGCCGGCTGGAGAGGCAGAACTTGACGCCGGGTAGGGCGGCCCACCGGTTCAGCAGGCCGACTAGCTCCGGGTGCTCGGCGCCGTACTCGTCCAGGCCGTCGATGAAGAAGCACAGCTTTGTCGACAGCGAGAACCCACCGGTGCCGGTGAGGGCTTCGAGCGTCCTCTGAAAGGTATCCTCGAGTTCGGGGACTGTCAGAGTGTCCGGCTCCGGAGGCTGCAGCAGGGCGGAGTCGTACGGCAGGTTGCCTTCCAGTGCCGCCTCGGCGCGCGCCGCCCAGGCGCCCCGTACGGCCTCGGGTACCACGCGGTGCATCAGGCCGCGGTGGCGCCGCAGCATGTCGAACAGCAGCGAGCGGAGGAGCCCGGCGAGCGAGCGCTGGCTCTCGGCCCCGCTGTTCCAGAAGAAGAAGCTGTACAGTTCGCAGGGCGTCGTGCGGCCGGCCCAGGCGGCGAGCGCGCGCCGCGTCGCCTCGTTCTCGCAGAGGAAGCGGATGAGCGTCGACTTGCCGCAGCCGACCTTGCCGCTGATCCAGTAGATGCCGTGCCCGCGCCGCAACCAGTCGACGAAGCCGCCGCCGGGCGCCGCCGTCGCGGCGTCGGTGTCCTGGTAGATCCAGTTGAAGGTGCGGGCGTGGGCGCGCTCGACGGTCTCGCGGCGCTCGATCATGGACGTGAAGGCGAGGCTGTCTAGGATGCACGTCTCGACGATGAGGGTGTGGAGCTCGCTCTCGACGCGTGCGTTGGCGATTCGCGGCGTTTTCCGGATGGTGCCGTGCTCCGGGGTCCGCAGGGAGCCGATGCCCCGGAGGATGTCGTCTAGCGATATGCCGAGGGGGTCATTGTCGTCGTTGGAGACCTTTTCGAACTCGCCAAGCTGTAGCAGCCTTTGAGATTGGACTTGTATCTGGGTAATGAAAGCCTCCTCGCTATTATAAAACGAGTCTAAGATACGTGTTGTAAATCTCCTCAGTTGGTGTGATGTCTGTGGTCGCTGACTGGCGAGATGAGCGAGAGCATCGCTGATAACGGATGTCAGTCACTGATATGTGTAGTAAGGAGGAAGAACGTGCGTCTTACCGAAATGAAACCAGTATCCGGGACTCAATACCTCTTCGGATGCCCCAAATACTGTCCTCCAGGGTGACTATCTCCTCCTGCCTTTCCCAGGTGGCGCGCAACGCTCTGTGAAAACTGTGCCAGGTCTGGAACTGCATCATCTCTGGCTGCTGCTGGCTGTCCATGGCTTCCAGGCCATCAGCGCCCAGCATGGACCGCCATCGATCAGGTGTAGTCTTGCGTTGCGTTTCAACGTGTTGCACGGCCCCTGTGGCCCTGTGGCGCAGTCGAGTTAGATGGGCAAGGAGGTCCTGCGCTACCGTTAGGGAGCGCGAGTGGAGGACTTCCAGCGCCGTAGGACTATCTGTCCTGGGATCTTGGTAGCTGGCCGATGTGTGTCTGGGGGGCGGCTGTCGCCTGAGGCTCTGCTTGAGGGCGAGCAGGTCCTGGACGAGGGCTTCGACATATATCTTGTCCGTCGGGAAACCGCGAGCTGGCTTGTAGAGCTGCGGCGCGGGATCGAGTAGGCGACTCGCGTATTCGGAGAACTGCATCAGCGTGGATGCGAGCGAGAGAGAGGCGAAGGCGTCCATGTTGTGTGGTGGTTGATGTTTACGCCTCGCAGGCCGCGTCGGTTATTTTCCTCTCCTGGGTGTGCTGGGAGAGAGCATGAGGTAGAATGAAGAAATCCCCCGGTGAAGAGAGACACCCAGAGATTTTATACCCAGCGCAGCAGGGAACCTAGATGGGCTTGTGCCACATGCAGATAACCGCTTGCTTGTCCTGTCTGGTGATGTTGTGAGGTGTGAGGTGAGGCTGGGGGCAGGTGGAATGGCGGGGTTACTCAACGTTACTCAACCGCCCGGCTGGTGTAACACGCGGCTAGTCATTCGCACCTTGTGTACAATACATGCGTAACTGATTTAGGCAAATAAATATCCAGGGTTGTTTTACTGGCCGAGCAGTTTTATTGCGGTAGAAGTATTTGGTATTTGGGTCAAGTCTGTTACAAGAGACCCAAATCAGACCAGGAGACTCCAAGGCTGCTTGTTATATTTCTCTTTGGAATATCTTTTTTTTTTGTTTTTCAAAAAGAAATAATCTGTTTTATGCTGTTTTTAAACTCATGGCCTCATGTAGTTGTTTTGCATTTATGCATGCCGGCGAGGATGCGTCTCACTGGATGGACTGCTTTATGGTATCCGTACATGTTCACGCACAGAAACCTACGTATGTATCTCTCTCTGTGTGTGTATGTGTTTTACACACACACTGCGCCTCTGGAAAGAGACCAACGTATGTATAGTACGGCATGCCACTCCTTGGTGCTGCCCACCCCTTCAGTTTCTTCTAGAGGCACGTGTCTTGGACTGTTGGACTGACCACAGCGTTTGGCCAGATGTTTTGTCATAGAGCGCATCAGTCTTGTCTGAAGAAGGGTCGTCAGAAACAAAAGCGAAGTCATCTGTGCTAGACGCAAACCCTTGCGACGGATGAAGCGATCCTCTTATGGCGCGAACCGTAGAAACGACGAGAAACTTGCCAGGTAGACTTTGCAGACTACCGTCTGCCAGGCGCTACTACAGTGTTCTTAGTCGTTTCATATTTACCATCATTTCCTCCACGACCCCGGCGCATCTTCAAATCCATCCTGAGATCTCAACTTGGGCGGTCGTAAGTACTCGTCTTCCCAGTTGGAAGGTTCCGCCAAATATTCCTGAAAGACGGCATAATCCGACGTTTCCATATACATCCAACCAACATTCTCATACTCGCTTTCCGTCAATCCCCCCTCCCACTCTGAGTCTTCTTCCTTGGGGCCCATTTCCTGGATTTCCTCCACTGAGAGGCTATAGTCTTGACCCTCGTGTCCCGGTGCCTGCACAAGCTTCACTACAGGGCCACAGGCCTGGTCCAGCGACTCGAGACAGATATCGTCGACAACCAGGAAGAAGTTGTAGCGCGTCCCGGCAAAGGAACTAGCCATGTCGACGTCAATTTCCTCCACTGAGGCACGGTACTCTTCCCTAAGGTTGGCTCGGTACCCATCCACGACCCACGCGGAAAACTTGTCACGCAAGGTTTGCATGGTGGCGCCTTGGAACTGGCTTTGATCGTCCATGAACTCAAACCGATGCCTCGTGTAGAGCTCTGGGTTGGGCGCAGGTTCGTACGGCAACGAGTCCACGGGGTCCTGGAGCTCGTCGAGCATCCGCTTCCAAGCAGCATCATCGCCGTACGCCGTTCGGTAGACAACAAGGCCCCATGGTGCGTCCGGCTTGAGCTGGCTGAGGTTGATGGTGCTTGATACCTGTCGCAGCGGGTCGGCGAACTGAGCAGTCTTCTCCAGCGCCATCGCTTCGCGGGTCTCCGCGCTGAGCGGGTAGGCCTGCTCTACCGCTTGGCTGACACGGGAGCGAGCATCATAGTCACTGCGGTTGACCTCGCACAGGGCAGCTTCCAGAGCTTCCTCATAGGCATTCACGCGCTGGCACTCCTCGTCTGTGAGGACTCGTCGTGGCATGTTAGAAAAGAAGCTGGGTTGTGATGTGGATGGCTTTGCGTAGTGGGGGCGCGGGGTGCTTTCGTTGGCTCTCCGAGAAAGCTTCACGAAGTAGGTGAAGGGCTTTTCGAGGACGGTTGAGGAGGGGAACAGGCAATATTTGGGCAGGCCGGCGCAGAGAGTGCATGAAAAGTCTGGGTGCAGGATTGAGGGCGGAGGTACTGTCGGAGGCAAAGGCGAGAGGCGAAAGACCACTGTTTTGTTTGTTATACTGCAAGGCCCGCTGAAATACGGAGGGCGGCCGTGTGCCTGGCCCTGCTCACCGGAGCGGGCAGAAAAAGAAAAAGAAATAGAAAGAAAGAAAGAAAGTAAGGAAGCGAAAGACAAGAAAAGAAACGATAAGAGTGAAGCTCTAGTTTACAGTTGAGCACTATGAATTCGAAATAGTGGAATCAAGAACAGTCCAAAACGGGTGGGAAGCAAGCAAGAGGTATGTACAGTACATACAGTACATACAGTACATACAGTACATACAGTACATACATACATAAGTAGGTAGTCAGTGGTAGGTAGTGGTATCTCCGTCATTGGTACCTGGTAATACCTACATAAGATGGCTGCCAACAGGTGTCAAGGCCTACTAGGTATCTAATGTACCTGCCTACCTTATACTTACCTTGCTACCTACCTAGGTAGTAACATACTGTACACACCTGGTTATAGCGAAAGTCTATCATTACTAGAGGACGTGGTCATAGGATAGCTAGCAGTTTACATCACAGACGCAGCTTGGGGCAGCTTAGGATTGTAAGAGGTGGCACACTGTGGTGCAAGGAGATGGGTGCTACGTAATCGCGCAAGCCTACGGGATTTCGCTGCCTGAGTTTTACAAATGGAACCCCAGAGTCGGGCCTGACTGCCAGTCGCTGTGGCTGGGCTATACTTTGTGCGTCGGCGTATAGGGTAACTTGTGTGTGTGTCTTGTCTGCGCGTTAATCGGTGGCCTTCCTCTCGCTGTTACAACGCCAAGTAATGTTTCGAAAAGCAATTAAAACAGTCTAGCTGTGAGAAGAGCAAGGGAAGCACGCTTTCAGCATCCATTGTATACGCCAGGATCCTTGTCCAACAAGGTCTCCTAGAAGGAGTGTACCTAATTGCCCCCGTTTAGGCAACCGACAGTTTATATCCGATGTAGAACATCATGCATCCCTCAGTGTCTTCCATGTACTGTACTTCCCGTTATTCAGCCAGGCGCAGCTTCTTGCCGATATCGCCGCGGCGTCTCGCCTGCACGGCCGCTCGCTCGGACGGCTTCGTCTGCTCCGTCGAGTCGGCGGCAGCCTCCGTCTTGCGCGCCTCGGTCGCCTCGCGAGCCTTGAGCGCCTGCAGGAGCATCCCTGCATCGAAGAATCCATCTGCGGGAAACAATCACGTTAGCTGCTGTCAATTCGCTCTCTCCAAGGTGGATGCGAAAAAGAAAAGAAAAGGTGAATAACAGGGGCCGACTTCAAACTTACATCCTCCTAATTCATCATCGTCGCTTGCAGGCATGCTCTCCTCCGCAACGGCCTGCTGCTGCGCCTCCGCGCCAGCCTTGACCGGCTCCGTCAGCGGCCTGCCGCGGTTCTTCACCCGGCTCGCCGAAGCGTGGTGCAGCGGAGGCCGGGCGGACTCCTCGGCCTCGCGGGCGCGGCTCACCTTGGCGGTCGACGACTTGCGGCTGGACAGGCGCAGGACGCGGCGGATCTCGAGTAGGTAGCTCTCGAGGGCGTCGACGAAGCGGCGCGTCTGGCGGTGCTTGGAGGAGACGCAGATGGAGATGCCCTCGTCCTTGATGATGTACCCGATGCCGAAGCCCTCGGCCGAGGTCGGGCCGAAGCCAAAGTGGCGGAGCGCCGGGTTGCCGCAGTTGGACGTCGACAGCACGGTGGTGTTGAGCTTGTCCCAGCCGCCGTCGGCGAAGAGGAGGGGCAGGTCCTGGCCTGCGCCGGAGCCACGGGAGCGCGAGCCGGTGCTGTCGCCGCGGCCCCGCGTGGGCTGGGCGGCCACTTGGGTACAGGCGGGCTCTTCGCTGTCCGACAGGGGAGCCTCGCGCGGGCTGCTCGCGGTGCCGCAGCTCTCGCCGCTCGAGGACGCGTCGCTGCCGCTGCCGCTGTAGAAGCCGCCGTCGACGTACTTTTGCCAGACGCACAGCAGCGCGTACAGGTGGCGGTCGCAGCCCTCCGCCTTGGCGCAGGTGCGCGTGTTGGCCACGTGCTTCCGGCAGGCTTCCCGGAGCGCCTCGAGCTTCTTTTCGACTGGATTGTCGCCCCAAAAGGTCTGCACGAAGCGGACCGACTCGTCCGTCACGGGACGGACCGCCTCGGTGCGGCCGTGCAGGTAGACCTTGGTCATGGCCGGCTCGTAGGTGCACTCAACGCGGCCATACAGGCCGTAGTAGGCCGCCTGGAAGGCCATCTGGACGTAGGCGTCGGGCGAGAAGCCCATGCTGGTGATGAAGGTCTTGCCGTAGGCGGCAAAGTCAAGGCACTGGAACTCGTTCTGCTCGATGAGGTCGGCGAGGCGGGTCTCGGCGAAGCGCACGGCGATGCTGAGCTCCGGGTGCATGTCCCAGGTCAGCTTGCGCGGGGTGGTGTTGACGTCGCCGAAGCTCTCCGGGTCGCGGCGGGAGGGGTCCGGGCTGGTGGAGGTCCAGAGCGAGGGCGCCTGGCCGTTGATGGAGCGGGCGAAGCGCAGGATGGTGTCGGTGTAGACGTCGCTGGCGAAGCGCAGCACGGTGTGGCCGTCGACGCCCGTGTGCTCAAAGTTGATGCCGGCGCTGCCGTTCTTGCAGACGATGATCTGCAGCTTGTCGTACCAGCGGTTGGTGCAGGTGCCGATCTGGACGCCGTTGCGCACCTCGCTGGTGCCGCAGAGCATGTTCTGGCAGAGGTCGGCCACGCTGCCCGGCTCGCTGTAGTCGAGGCACAGCGCGAAGAGCGCCGAGTCGACGATGTTGAGGCAGTCGGCGTTGTTCGACTCGGGCTCCCGCGTCAGCACGTCCCGCAGGCCCGACCACACCTTGCGGTTCTCCGTGCTCAGCACGCCGACGGCGCCCTTGGCCGCCTCCTGGATCGGCGTCTGCTGCGCGTCGTCGATGATGGTCTGCAGGTTGACGGCGATGTCCCGCTCCGTCATGATGGCGTCCGAGTTGTCGTCCAGCACGTCGAACCAGTACACCTGCCCGTGGCACATGACCACCATGTGCTTGGAGTCGGGGTCCTGCTCGATCTGACAGCCCGCCTCGGTCGGCACCCGCGCCGTGCCAAAGAGCCGCGAGAACTGGTACATGCACAGTGGCGTGCCCTTGATCATGTCTGGTGGCAGCTCCTCCTTTCGGACTGCGCGGATGAACTCGAGCGCCGAGACGACGAGCGACGCGGCCCGGGTCACCTGGTTGTTTCTAGCTGGCGTGGGATCATCTTCAAGCAGGAAGAACGGGTTCAGATTGAGGACAACGGGGTTGTCATAGTTGAGGTATGAATCGTACCCTAATCTGTTAGTATGCCATCCTTTGGAACAGACACATGAAAACTCCGGCCGACTTACAAAACTGCTCAATGTAGCTCGTCTTGCCCTGGGCATAGTTTTTGAGTTTTTCTTGCAGTTCTGGGCCATCTCGTCGCAGAAACTCGTCGACCGCCTGCTGTGTGTCGGAACGCTCTCGTGCGTTCTGAAGAGGCTTGAGGGCCTCAATATATCTGCGACACGTCGAAGCGAGCTCGGGGATAGGAAGCTTAGGTAGCTTGTCCTGGCTGGCAAAGGTGACGCCGCCCTTGCCAGAGTCGCTCGACATTGGAAATTTGGTGTAGACGGAAGGCCGCCTCTCCGAGTCCGACGGCGGGGTGTTGCTGTCCTTGCGCAAGTCCTCGGGCTTGAGCGTGTCGCTAGGGAGGGTTCGCGGAGTTCTGACGAGGGGCAAAGGCTCGAGAGCTAGAGTCTGGCCAAGAGGCTGAGGCGAAGTGAATGTTCTGACTTCAGTCGTCATGGTGGAAGTTAGTTATGGGTCGTTGAGAGGTTGGGGATGGTGTGGTTTGTGTAGTATCCCTATCGATGCGACTGGTATCAGGAGTAGAGGGGTGAGACGGTGGTGCAGATGTTTAGACCGCGCAGGGCGGTGCGGTAAAAGTAATGGCAGTCTTGAGTGCAGTAGGCGGGCATCTCACGAGTGAGGACTGGTGACCAACAGAGTCTCACGGAGCAAGACTGCGATGGAGCCAGCGTAGGTGTGGTGAGGTGAAATGAAAAGTGAGGTATAAACAGAATATGAGCGAGGGAAGTTGAAGGAGGAGGGTAATCTAATATACTAATAGAGAAAGATGAGCACGAGCCCCGGGGAGTGAGACGGGAGGGGGGTGTGAAGGGGAGCGGCTCATGACGGGGGAGTGGGATGAGGCTGATGGATCCCACAAGACCAGGTTATCGGTGGGCATGGGCAAGGCGCGATCGGGAACAGCATGGGGAAGACATTCTCGAACTAGAGAGAAGGGGGGAGGGGGGTGGGGGTTGCTCCAGACGAAGTAGCAAAACGAGAGTAATAGCAAGTCATCAGAGCCAAGGGCCAAGGAGGGAAAGGTAAGCGACAAGCATGCCGGGGTGAGGGTGATGGTGAGTGGGATGGGATGGGATGGGAGAGCTCCGCACGTCCGGCCGGCCGGGTAGAGTTGGGGACTTGCTTGGGCGTGGCGCCGGAACAAGGGCCGGGAAATGATGGGTTGAAGGCGGGATGGATGGAATGGAAGAATGGGCTTACCGAGGGAAAAAAGGGTATCACGGCTGTGACGGGATCGTTCGTCCGGTGCGTTTAAACTAACTCGTCGTCACAACCCCCTGAGTGCAGCAGGCGTCGGAGATGAGGACCAAGAACGGATGCGCGATAAGGATGAGTGAGTATGAGGATGAAGATGCTGACAAGGACGACAGATGGGAAAATGGTGCGCGCTGCAGGGCGACTGGGATCGGGGATCAGCCTAGTCCGGGGCAAGGCTGTGGTGGCCTCGGGAGGGAGGGGCCTGGAGTAGTTGTGAGAGGACACAGTCAGAAGGGGAAGGAAGCTATCGAGGATGGTTTGACATGTGGTTTTGGGGTTGATAGATAGAGAGCTTGGTTGATTTTGGCGTTGCAGGTCTGTAAAAATACGGGGTGGTTGGTTAGCTTGGCCGCGGTCATGATGGTACTGGTGGTAACCAGATTAGGGCGCTGAGCAGCAGGGCTGGCGTCTCACATGGGATCAGGCTGGTCAGATGGGAAACTTGCTAGGAAGCGAGGTTCGAGGCGTTGGGGTTGGGTGTATGGTTGTATCGGTCGCTGTAGAGGAGCACAAAGAATGACTGGCTCACATGCGGCCGAGATTGATCGTCTCGACGAACAAATCAGATCAGTCCGGTCCGAGCAGGAGGGGAGAAGACTGATGATGGATGCAGCGGCGTACTGCTGCAGGAGGAAAGAAATCCGAAATAACTTGTGTGTGGCGCGGGTAACGTGTGGTTGAGTAGGTAACTAATGATGAGCAAATATCGAGAGTGGATGGGAGGATCTTGCAACAGCAGCAGCTTCTTAGAGTATCAGCCAGCAATGATTATTATTATAATTATGACTGATCTCTTTTCCCCCGGCTCTCACTCACTCGCCCACTCTCTGCCTCTCTCTCTCTCTCTCTCTCTCTCTCTCTCTCTTTCTCTCGGGCGAGTGGATGTTTCGGCTCAAGTCATTCCCCAGACAAACAAGACACCAACACAGCACCTAGCAAACTAAAAAACTAACAAACTTACAGCAAGCACACCCACATCAAGGTTCCACCTAACGTAGCATCGCTAGCCTCTACTCAAAGTCAACGGCAACGAACAGTAAGTAGGCGTGGTTAATAGCCTCGTCATAGCCCTGCCAGCTTATGGCCCCATAGAATATTACTCTCCTCACTATAATCACGGTCAAGGCGCTTGCTATCGAGCTTCCTAGTTATACACCCTACACAAGGTAGCATCTTTTCTGGCCGTACGCACTACATATGGTCGGCCCATTAGTTAGCTAGTTATGCCTCACCTCACTGAGAATCTCGAATACTCAAAGAAAATGGCTTGAGAGCGCAAATTCTGTAACTACCCCGCCATTGCTGCTTCATCAAGAACCCCAAGGTAACCATGCCTTTGCACTCCTTTCCCACAATTAAATGCGGCCCATTGCCGCTGTCCCCAGGCTGACCAGCTGACCAGCCAGTAACAGCCACCCAGTTTACCTGCGCTTACATTATCTTGGGAACTAAATACGGCCCCGGGCCACAGCCTATCGTGCAAGTTGGTGAGCCTCCCGGACGGGCGGAAGTCTGACGTTAACTGGCGCTTGGCTTGCAATCAGCGACTGCCGGCGAGACAAACTCAAGGAGCGAGCGACATTTTTCCTCAAGAATAATCAACTATGCTTCACCAATAAATTCATTGCCATTTTCTTTTGGAATTTCCTCTTTATTTTTCTTTCCCATCGTCCAGCCACCTACATGTGTATGCAAAGTTTTTTTTTTATGAACCGTGACCACAGATACTTTATCCCCAGTGGGCAGTCCCTCCACTAACTTGATATTTTATAGCGTTGCCTTCGGCCCAAGGGACAGCGACGTCACTGGTGAATTCAATCGCAGCCTTGCCTCGGAAGCACAAGCGGCAACTATCTATCAGTCGCGTCTGGTATTTCTCATTAAACACTCAATTTCAAATCCAACGCCATACGCGGCCGAATGTCGAAGCTTTTTGGCCAATACTTCAATACTTGTCGCCTAGGTGGCTCACTGGAAGAAGACGCTCGTCAAAGTACACTCCTGCCCAAGACTCATGACAAAATGGCACCTGATAATTCTACCAAAATTCTGAATAAAGTGAATACAAAGAGGGAATCAATTTCGCTGGCTGCGAAATCGCACAACTGCAGGCCGAGCCCTATTTATCTGTCATTCACCAACTCCCGCCTTGGGACAGCCCTTCCCCTTCTCACCTTACCATCTCGGGATGTTGTTTCGATTTTTTAACAACATCCCCACCTAAGCAAAAGCCCAATCAAAGTCCATCTCAACTTACAATTATTCCTTGCTAGATTCTTGGCAGTTTTGCATCGCCGCCCGCCGCCAAGCGCGAGGCCGCGAGGCTCTCGCCGGAATTTCCTCTTTGGGAGGTCCATTCGAAAATTCAACGGCCCTGGCTCTCGGGACCCACCCGGACCCGGCACCCTGCGCCGTACTCACTGCAAAAGCCCTGCCAGATTCCACCTGTCAAGGACAAATGATGGCGCTGATATGCTCAATTTCATCTTCATCTTACGCAGCTTGGCCTGATCGTCAGCCCTGAGCATCACTTGCTCGCTCCTGGGCAAGGCTTGACACCGCCCCGCTGACCGTACCTGGATCTCGTAAAGCACGTATAAGACCGGATGCCTCCCTCAGCACAGCTCGCTATTGCTCTAGACTTGTAAAGCATGCAACAGTTTCCTCATATACAGGCGACTCGAAATACTCTAGGCAGACCAATTTCGACAACCATCACCGCGCCGAAGCAGTGCGCGCCTCCGTAACAACACCTCCTCGCACCATGCTGTCCCTTTTCCGCAAATCGAAATCGAAAGAATACCCGACCTGCATTCACCGGGAACACTCCAGTCCCCAAGCATGCTCTGATTGCAGAACCACAACATCAGCACGGAGAAAACACAGATGGCTCCTCGTCTTCTGCCTTGTCTGGCCCTATGCCCTTCAAGCCCTCGACTCGACCATGTGCGTCTCTCAAGCAGACCTCGACAGCCGGAGGAGAAGACCAAGCACTATACTGACCTGCCCTCTAGAATAGCAAGTGCCCTGTTTTGGATCGCCAAAGACTTTGACAAAATCTCCCAGCAAAACTGGATCGTCTCCTCCTTCAACCTCACCTCGTCCGCCTTCATCCCGTTCTGGGCGCAGATCGCCGACGTCTTCGGCCGGAGCGCCGCGTTGTCGTCAGCCATCCTGCTCATGGTCGTCGGGAGCACGCTCTGTACCGCCGCGCCGACCTCGGCGTACGCTGTGCTGCTGCTCGGCCGCGCGCTGCAGGGCGTCGCCGCCTCGGGCCTCGGCGTCCTGACGCGCACCGTCCTCGCCGACAGCGTGTCTCTCGAGGAGAGCGCCAAGAGCTGGGCCATCCTCTCCATCGTCGGGGGAGTCTCCTACGGGCTGGGCCCTGTCATCGGAGGTGCGTCCTTGCCCTCTGTCTTCGTTCGTGCTCCTGCAAAGCTAACCAACCACGCAGGCTTCCTCACAAAGGTCAACTGGCGCTGGTGCTTCGCCATCAACCTGCCGATTGGAGTTTTCAGTCTTGTCGTCGTGCTCCTCGTGCTCCGAAGGCATCTCCTCGGCCCGCAGCCGATCCCCGAGCTCGACGAAACGCACGAGACCGGCCGACGCACCCGGTTCCTCGCGCGCCTCAAGACCGTCGACCTCGGCGGCCAGCTCCTCTTCATCGCCGGCTTCGGCCTCCTCATCCTCGGCCTCACCTGGGGCGGCGCCGCCCACCCGTGGTCCTCCCCCGCCGTCATCGGCCCACTCGTCGCCGGCGCCGTCCTGCTCGCCGCCTTTGTCTTGTGGGAGCGCCTCCTCGAGCCCGGCCACCCCCTCGCCGACAGGCTCCCCCGGCAGCGGCCCATGATCCCATGGGCGCTCCTGTCTACCAGGGACATGGCGTTGCTGTTCTGCGTCGAGTGTGCCACGGGCGCCGCCACCTTTTCCGTGCTCTACTTTGGCAGCACCTTCTTCGTGCGCGTCCAGGGCCACGGCGCGGACCGCGCCGGTCTGCAGCTGCTGTGCTTCGTGCCCGGGCTGGGCGCCGGCGCGTGCGCGTGCGCGCTGCTGTGCAGCCGCTGGCCGCGCATGACCTACCCACCGCTGCTTCTCGGCACCGTCGTCGAGACCACCGGCGTGGCCGGTCTGGCGTGGGCGATGCATGCGGCGCACTCGCCGAGTGTCTTGGGCATGATGGCGCTGGTGGGCGTCGGGATGGGCTTCAAGTTCATGGTGGCGCCGCTGCACGGCATCGGCGTCTTCAAGACGCACCGCGCGTCGGTATTGGCGCTCGTGGGCATCGCGGTCCCTTTTGGCGGCACGGTCGGGCTTACGATCATGTCGGCTGTGTTCAACAACACGTCGGGGCTGGACGCCAAGGACGGCGAGTACGCGGAGGGCTCGGTCGATAGTGTCAAGAACGGCATGGTCTGGGCATACGTCTCCATCGTCCCGTTCATGGCGCTGTCCTGCGTTGCTTGTCTGTTCATGGGCAACGTGATTCTCGGCAAGGAGGGATCCTCCAGCGGACATAAGGAAGATGCCGTGATTCGCGAGCCGTATTTATGGTACTTGCTGCGAGCCAAGCATTCGCGCTGTGATACCAAGAGCATAGCTATGGAGCCGATTGGACGGGGAAGATCATACAAAGAGATACCCCCGGAGGAGTCTGCTTAAGGGAAAGAAAGTGAATTGTTCAAATTGATAGAGTTCTATATTCTACGGCGCCCCATCTACCACCAAGTAGCCATCTGAACTCTACCAATGGCCAAATTCGCGGCAAGTCTATGCGGGAATAGACGAGTATTCTGGGCTGAAGGGATAGTCAGTGTATCCCATGGCATCGTGCGTGTAAAACGAGTCGCGCTTGTATTCTGCGAGCTCAAGACCCTTCTGCATCCGGTACACAAGGTCTGGATTGGAGATGAAGTGTCTCCCAAACATGACCGCGATTTCCTTTGCGCGTTTATCATCCACGAGTTTCATTGCACCTTGCACATCGTATCCTCCGGCAACAAGCAGCGGCCCATCCCACAGCGGATACGCAAAGTCCAACGACTCTGTGCCCGCGGAGTCCGAACTGCCGGCTATTCTCGACTCGACCAGATGCAGGTATGCCAAGTTCAACTTGTTTGCCTTTTGTATGACGTCCGTGAATTGAGGGATCGGGTTCTCCATCTTCATGCCCTGAAACGTGCTCCACGGGCTGAGACGCAACCCGACTCGCTCAGGGTTGATGGCCTTGGCGACTGCTTCGACGATTTCCACGACACAGCGCGACCTGTTCTCAACGCTTCCCCCGTAAGCGTCGTCTCGCTGGTTGCTCACGTCCTGGGTGAATTGATCGACCAGATAGCCATTGGCGCCGTGGCACTCCACGCCGTCAAAGCCAGCCGCGATGGCATTCTCAGCCGCCGACACGAAGTCCGCAACCATCTGCCGGATCTCGTCCAGCGTCATGGCGCGCGGGACGGGCGCATCGTCATCCATGGCGATGGCGCTTGGGCCGACAATTGCAGTGCCATCTTTTGCGGCACCGTCGACGGTGGCCACCCGGCCCATGGCAAAGAGCTGGCAGTAGATGAAACAGCCGTTGGCGTGTACGCGGTCCGTGACGGCCTTCCAGCCGGCGACTTGTGCCGGACTCCAGATGCCGGGAGCATTGTCAAAGCCGCCGCAGGCTGAAGGAGCGATGAGCGTCCCCTCGCCGATGATGAGGGTGCCCGGCACGGCGGATCGCTGGGCATAGTACTCTGCCATGATCGGTCCGGGCACGCGATCGTTGCTGGCACGGAAGCGAGTAAGGGGAGCCATTCCAATGCGCTGCGTGAGCTGCATGGTCCCGATTTTGATAGGCTTCAAGAGACGAGATTCGGTCATTGTGAGAAGGAGTAAAGGCTGTTGCCGTTGTCGACTTGGACGCCTTGGGGAGGTGTGACCCTCAAGACTTTATAGCCACGTCTGAAGGATGTCTCGGTCTTACTCTGCAGCTACCCGTTCGTCCATGGCAAAATTCCGTAGTTAATATGAAACTGTCGCCATTGCGAACATACTTCCTTTTTAGGCAATTAGATTATTCCCAAATGGGAAGGGAGTTACTGCTAGGTGTAAGTCGATTTATGCGGGGGCATTCACGCGGCTCTCAAAGCTGATTTCTAAGCATCGCTCTCCAAGCATCTTGCGGGTTATACGGAAGCAGGCCAAAATATATGATTCTATTTTCTTGGCTCATAGTAAAAAGGTTGTAGCCCAACACACAAGCTGTTGCTCGGCCAAGACATTCATCATCGCCCTACGTCAATATGGCTGCTCACAATGTGACGCACGACGCCACAACCAGTATGCAGCGTAGGCAACACAAAAGTCTGTCCATATTCCATTTTGAGCTGACAACGGAAAGATGACGAGAAATTTCGCTTCGTGTCCATTTCAGCACTAAACAAGCCGCGGAACTCGAAAGCCCAGCGACAGGCTCGCTCGCATGCGGTTAAGCAGGGATTAGAGAAGAAGCGAAAGCGTCAGCTGGACACACAAAGCAATTTTCATATAATACGCGGCTCGTCCATGGCCAATACGACATCGTATTACTTGGGTAGTAAAGGTGGCTCAGATGCCGTGCCCACGTCGTCTCCCTCATCAGCAGACGCATTCAACCCAGTTCATCAGACTCTCGCGGTGGATTCATCAAGGCTGCGTGTGTTGCTGGACGACTGTAAGTGCTCAACGAAAAGACGACAAGTCATCCCGAAGTATCCGTAATCGAACTTGTTTTAGATAGAGCGAGACAAGCCCCGGAACCAGTGTTTAGCGTCGCAAAGCCGTTCGCTTTTCAGAGCGTGCAAGCGGTGTTCCGCCAAGGCTTGGTCGACCCAACCCTTGTCAATGCCGTGATGCTGGCCATGCTCTCCACGGTGACTGGTGAATACGTAGCGAACGAAGTTCTTGGCTATCAGTACAAAGCTATTCGTGGGATTCGCGAGCGAATGAGTCGCATGAACGAAGCCACATCTGAATCAACCATTGGAGCAATTCTGTTGCTTGCAGGGATTGAGGTAGGTGTGAACTTGAGCTTGTCAACGTTGCCAAATGAAACTAACAATTCCTTCAAGGCCCGCTTGGGGAGAAGAGATCAGGTCCAGCTACACATGAGGGCGGTGCAGCAACTGCTCAACCTTTGCAAGGATCGAGGCATATATCTCACAGTAGGTATAAAGCGGGCAATATTCTGGTGATTCTTTCCGCAAAATTGAAGAAAATTTCTTATAACTAATGAAAATGCTAGGCAAGACTTGAATGCTTGCATTCTAGCAGGGACGCCGCGGCTCTTTACACACACCACCTTTGCCGAGTTGCACTGGGTACGCGATGCTTTTTCCCCGAGCTTCTATCGTCTACCGCCTGGATTTGAACAACGGCGCGAGAATTTTAGCAGCGAGTTCATCGATATCCTTGAAGATTTGCATGCTTTGCAATGCATCCGCAACATTCCTGGGGCAAAGAGCGGTGATCCGCTCATGATGGCCTACATCAACAACCACACCGCGTCCATTCAGAGCAGGTTGGGGTTCCTGAGCGAAAGCGGCACCTTGTCAAGAAGCTGCCGGCTCGCGGCGTATATATGCTCGGTCATGCTGTGCTGCACGGTGTGGTGCGGGCTGTTCATTCCGGTAAGTCAAGTCTTGCGGCGGCAGTGACGAGAACTAATCCCTGCAACAGAGCCACATCTCAAAAGAACTTCTGGAGGAGCTTCGCCAGACACGAGATGAAGGGGTCTGGGGAGAAAACTTGGATTTGCTGTTATGGCTGACATGTATTGGCGGCGCATTCGGGGATGAAGGCAGGACTAGGGAGGGTTACGTTGATATTTTGGCTGAAATTGAAAAGAGATCTATTGGAGGATCTCCCAAGAAGTGGTCTAATGTTTTATGCATTTTGCAACAATTTATTTGGTCCGAAGCGGCGTTCCGGGGGCCGGTCGAGGCGCTTATTAGGAGCAGATCGTGGTTGGTGTGATGGGCTCGGCTGGGTGCATATGCATCTTAGAAGGCGCATAAATGCAAGGAGTTTGGAAAACTGAAATGCGTATATGTGCAGTGATCGAGGTATTGGTAAGCGATCAATATGATTTTTCCTCCTAATAACTTTTACAGCTCTCGCTTTACTTGGGCAAACTGTTGCTACGTACGGATACAGTATGTAGGGCTAATAAGTGGCTGGGGAGTGGCGCGTGCCTCCTGTCAAAGCATCCCACCAAACCACTTTGTGGCGTCCATCCTTCCTGGACGGACAAGGCGCATGTGGCTCGAGAACTCGCATCACAAGGGTCTAGGTGGTCACAACCTCCGGTCATTGCCTCTGCCAGCTTCCCTCGGCTTCATCATCATACTCACCGTGAGGGCTTACCGTCAATTTTACCCGAGTATACTTTACATATCATCTCGCTCGTTTCAGGGGCATGCCAACACTCGACGCTTCCCGTCTTCACTGACTGCGGCCTCGAACCCCCAGCCGACGACATCATGAACCACCACTTTTCCGCCGTCGGCGAGAAGCCCGCCGATGGCAGCTACGAGCATGGCGTCCAAGTCATTGACGAGGACAAGGAGTTCAAGTTTGTGCTACTCTTAACCCCCCTTTCCCGGCCGCGGCGCATCGTCGGCCTCGTCGCTTCCTGATGCGCCGTCTCCGCGCGCCCGACATAACCCAAGCTGACCGTCGCATCCGCGCAACAGCACCAACATCACCGAATACCTCCGCATGACGGATGTCGCCGACGCCGGCTTCAACTACCACCTCATCTCCGTCTTCGGCTCCCAGTCCACCGGCAAGTCGACCCTACTCAACAACCTCTTCGGCACCGAGTTCTCTGTCATGTCCGAGACGGAGCGTCGCCAGACGACCAAGGGCATATGGATGTCCAAGAACAAGCGCGTCGAGAGCGCCGGCAAGAAGATGGCCGACAACATTCTCGTCATGGACGTCGAGGGCACCGACGGTCGCGAGCGCGGCGAGGACCAGGACTTTGAGCGCAAAAGCGCCCTCTTTGCGCTCGCCACCAGCGAGGTCCTCATCGTCAACATTTGGGAACACCAAGTTGGTCTGTACCAGGGTGCCAACATGGGCCTGTTGAAAACTGTCTTCGAAGTCAACCTGCAGCTGTTCCTCAAAGACAAGCAGTATGCTCACCCGACCCCCCGGCCCTGCCTGCCCAGGTCCAGTATCAACCATACTAACCGTATATAGATCCACCCCGCGATCGCTCCTCTTCTTCGTCATTCGAGACCACCTCGGAAATACACCGCTTGCAAATCTCCAGACGACTCTGATCCAGGACTTGACTAAGATTTGGACCTCCATCTCTAAGCCATCTGGCCTTGAGACCGCCAAGATTGAAGACTACTTTGACTTTGGATTCGCTGCTCTCCCCCACAAGATTCTGCAAGCTGAAAAGTTCACCGAGGAGGTTAACAAACTCGGCGCGCGATTCTCCGCCGCACAACGATCCGGCCCCCAAGAAACACACGGCGAGGAAGAGCTGAAGGGTGGCATTTTCCTTCCCGAGTACCACCGCCGAATCCCCGCAGATGGCTTCTCAGTTTACGCGGAGGGCATCTGGGACCAGATTGTCCACAACAAGGATCTTGATCTCCCCACTCAGCAAGAGCTTCTAGCTCAGTTCCGATGCGATGAAATCGCAAAGGAGGTCATGGCAGCGTTCGACATTATCCTTGCTCCACTAGAAGAAAAGCAGGTCGAAGCTTCCAACCTCGGCAAGATCCTAGTGCTCGCCGATCTTGGCGTCACTGGTAGTGAGGCTCGTCAAAAGTGCGTCAACGCTTTCCAGTCTCAAGCCAGCCGCTATCACAAGAAGGTCTATGCCGAGAAACGCATCGAGCTCGAGAGCAAAATTGATATCCGACTCAAAACTCTGTATCAAGGCCAGCTCGCTTCCTGCCACAAGGGTGGCGTCGCTGCGTTTACCGATGCCGTGAGCAGCAAGGTCAAGGCCGGCCAAAAGGCTGGTGGTAACTATGAATTTGCCGAGATTGTCTCGAGTGAAAAGGCAAAGGCCCTCAAGGTCTTCAAGACAGAAGCCCAGAGCCTGGCCATCCAGGGTGTTCCTTGGACCAACTTCAAGGCTCAGTATCAGCTGTACGAGGCTGACCTCGATGAGGTCAGTGGAAAGCTGCGCAAGGAGGAGATGCGACGCCTGGCTACGCGCGTGGAGCGGTGGGTAAAGTCCCGCCTTGGCGATGCTGTCGGCCTCGAGTTCAACAAGCTCGGATCCGGTAGAGCCGGATCCGGCGCCCCGGAGGAGGGCGAGAAGCCGGACACTGAAAAGGACCTCTGGGATCGTATCTGGAAAGTCTTTACCGACATCGTCAACGAGGCTGAGACTCGTTTCGTGGACCGCGCCAAGAGCTTCGATGCTAGCGAAGAAGAAGTTGTCATCGGCCTTTGGCGCCTTCGCCGCAAGAGCTGGGTCGGCCTCCGCGAGAAGATTGAGGAAGAGGTCATGGAGGGCAACATCCTGCTGAAGCTCCGTGAGAACTTTGAAGACAAGTTCCGCTATGACGAGGCTGGCGTTCCGCGCATCTGGCGCCCCACCGACGATATCGAGGGCGTGTATACCAAGGCCAGAGAATCAACACTGACGTTGATCCCGCTGCTCTCTCGCTTCCGTCTATCGTCAACCTACGCGCCACCTGATCTGGTGAGCTTCATCGGCCATCAGCCAGCCGGCGTTGAAGCGAGCGACGAGGAAGATTTGGCCCCTATTGGCGGCGTTGATGAGGAGGAGGGTAGGAGCCTGGAGGAGGAAATGACGGTCTTGAGCGAGAGCAAGCGCCAAGACCTCGTTGTACGATTCAAGAAGACGGCAGACGGCGTCTATGTTGAGGCCAAGCGCGGCGCCATCGGCGGCGTTGCGCAAGTTCCTCTGTACTTTTATGGCATACTTTTGGCGCTTGGTTGGAACGAAATCTGGATGGGTAAGTGACTTCCATCTGCTTTTCTCGAGACGACGACGGTGCTAACACCTCTCCTAGTTCTGCGCAATCCTTTCCTGTTTATCCTTCTCCTACTCATTGCCGGCGGCACATACGTCGCGTACACGCTCAACCTCCTCGGCCCCATGATGCAGATGAGCAACGCCGCCGTCAACCAGGGCATGGACATTGCCAAGCAGTCCTTGCGCGACTTCATCGCCAACTCGGACATGGCCCGCCAGGCCCTTGCCGTCCCCGCGGACCAAGGCAAAAGTGGCGATAACATCAGCATGGACAGGCTCGACAGCCGTGGTAAGAAAACGGCTTCCTCGGCCAACAAGGACGATGATGATGATGAGATTTGAAAACAACGACGAGAAGAAAGACGCATGCTGAAAAGTTTAGAAGCGATGCCACGGGTGTCTACAATCAAGACTTAGACCGCGGAATATATATATCGATGCTTATGACTTCATTCATCGTTGTTCCAAAAATAGCATAATGCAAATAATGTCCCATACTTTACAGATCCTTTTACGCCAGCCGCAACGCCATCCCTTGTATACATATGCGCCATTATTCCCAAGTCAATTTCAAAATGCTCATGTCCACTCCACCGTATCAAAAGGCCTCTAAATCGGCGGGCGTACCAAACCAGTGACCGAGCTCATTTGTGTCTTTGTCGCCAGAGACAAAAAAGTCGGTCACGCGGCTGGCCTCGCCGTCGTCATCCGCCGGCCACTCCACCTTGACGCCGTTGCCCTTTGCCTCGAGCATGTCCTTGGCCGTGCCCCAGCTGAAGCGGCACTCGGGGCCCCATCCGAACACGGGATGCAAGTTGCCGCGCAGCCAGGCAGTACAACGGCCGTCCGAAGGGTACCCCGAGCCCCAAGCCATCGCCTCGTCGCCGTCCGCCTCGTGGTCGGCCGGGTCCCTGCGGTCTCCGTACAGCGTCTCGAGGGCGACGTCGCGCGTCACCTTTGCGCAGACCGACGCCGCGCTGACGCACGCGTACAGGCTGTCCGCCTTCTTGGCCACCGTGACGCGCGCGGTCGGGAAGATGCGCTGCAGCTTCGCCTGGTAGGTGGCCGGCGGGCCGATCGTGTCGACGTAGATCTCCTGGACGTTGACGCCCCGGGCATAGACACCTTTGATGAGGTCGACGGTGGCGTCCATGGCTTGCGCGTTGAGGTTGTACGCGCCGACGGGGCGGAGCATGCCAGCGCCGATGTCGCGCGCGGACAGCGCGCACGTGGCCCAGCCGCAGGCGTCGTGGAGGTCGGAGCCGGGGCGGCAGAGCGTGCGCATTAGGTCGGCGCGCACAGCCGCGGTCAGCACCTTGGAGTCGTCAAAGTGATGCGCCTCGCGGAGGAGCTCGTCGGAGCGGTCGATGGGGAGGTAGAAGACGCCGTAGACCATGGGGCCGAGGACGGGTCCGCGCCCGGCCTCGTCGACGCCGAGGCAGCAGGGAACCGCGGAAGATGGGTTCGAGGGGTCGGAGGGGAGGAGAGACGGTGGCACGGGGGAGAAGTGCGAGTAGGACTGGCCGACGAGGAGGGGCTCGCTGTGGATGGAGGGCGGGACGAAGGCGCCGGCTTCGACCTCGACTGGTGGTGTGTCTTGTTCGGAATCGGCCATTGTGGGAATTATAGAAGCGGTCAGAAGCTTCCAGGCGGATATGGAGGGGAAATCGAAGTATTGAAACTGAATCGGTGATGCTTCGAGTAAAGCTGCTTGGGAGAAGCTCTAAGTCTAGGCCTGGAAGACGCGTTGGAAATAGCGGCACGCGCGTTAAGTTGGGTAGAGACCCGCTAATTTTTAAGGCCGACTAGCTCCACCATCTCGAACCTGCAGCGACTCCACAGAACGTCAACACAACAAGAACCCCAAGCGCGTTGCTGGGCGCTGCGATTGATTACTGCGAATACGGTAGCTATCTTGCTAATACGATTAAACGATAATTTTGCTTCAATATTCGAGAGCTCCATCTTGCCCGCTCGCGGTCCGCAGGGCCGACTTATTACCGACTATACGCTGCATCCCTCTGCTTCGCTGCCCACCTGCCCACCTGCCCACCATGGCCCGTCCGACGCGGCGCCCTGGCGAAAGCTCACCACAAGGTCTTTATCAACTTGGTGTTCAGGGAAGGTAGGTCACATTTTGGTGACCTGAATGCCGGCTGTGTATGCGAGGATTTAGCTGATACTTGGTAGAAAAACGGGCGCGACGTTGAAGGATGACGGCAAACGTGATTCGCAGGGCATGATGCCCACCGCGGGACTCTTCTCTTCCCCGGGAGGCAATACCACGCAAAATGTGGCTGTAGCTCCGACAGAAGAGCCGATACCCGAGGCAACACCAACACGAGACAGAAACGAGGATACCAGCGCCCCTATGGACATCGCTTCAAGTACGTCCAGGCACGCCGCCCGGCGGTTGACCAGTTATTCTAACGCATCCGTGCTCACAGGTGGTGGCGCCGGCCCAGCAACTGTTCTTCGAGACCCCAGGAACTTGAAGATCCCCGTCCCAAAGGGCCGGTCGCCAGCGAGGACGAATGCAAGCTTGCTAAGCTCGCCGGCGAAACGAAACCCGAATATATCACCGATGCTGCCGCCGCCAGCCGACCCTGCGGCGAGATTTCTCGATTTTCCGACTCCCTCTAGGCGGAGCCAAGGCTCGAGGCGCCCCAGTACCGCAGAAATTCCAAGCAGCGACTCTATCAACGCATTGGCGGGCCAGGCTGGGGAGATGGGCGACACAACTCCGGCGCAATTAGACTTACGGCGCGTAAACGAGTTTGTGCCTAGGCATCGGCCACCAGTGTCTGCCAAAAGCTTATCCGCAAAGGCAAGAGGCAAGCAAAGAGCCGTTTCGAGCAGGTCACCGCCGCAGTTCCCTGAGGAGCCCACTGTACACGTTCCGGACCTACCGGAACCGGAGCCTGAGCCGGGGATGTGGCCGGAGCCCGAGCCCGAGCCGGCGTCGGAACCAGAGCCAGGCTTCGGGTTTGAGCCGCTACAGTACTCATCTTCACTGCCTGCTCCAACACGGGAGACCTCGATTACAGCACCCTCGCCGCGACCACCAACGCAAAAACGACCTACACCAGCCCTTTCGACGACGAGTTCAACAGCTCGACACCCGCGTAATGATGTTGATGATCGCAGAGATGCGGCCAAGCGCCAACGTCAAACTGGCTCTGAAGTGTCGCGGAGAAGCGAGCAGCCGGTTAAGCGTGGGCGTGGGCGGCCGCCGAAGAACGGGGTCGCGAGGCGTGGACGCGGACGGCCTCGGAGAAGTGAGGTCGAGTCAGAGGAAGAGGGTGAATCTTTGATGACATTGCAGAGAGGACCGCCGATGCCCAAATCACGGGGTCTGGTCTCTATGCGTCGCGATGCCGCTGCCGCTGCTCATAATCGCCACCAAGGAAATGACGGCGACTGGTGGGCCAACATACATAACGATGATTCTACCTACCAGCATGAGCGGTCTCGCGGCCAAGCTCTCGCATTGCAGACCACCACGAGAAGCCACCGCCAACCCGCCGCCGCCGCCATCGCGGATGTGGAAGCGGACCTCGAGGACTGGGAGGTCGACCCCGGCAGCCTCACTGGCGAGATCGTCCTCTGGGAGCCCGAGCACGAGCACAACCCGCCCGGGCCCGACGACCCCGTGCAGGTCACCGACGAGCGCATCGCCCTCACCGCCGACGCCATCCAGACGTACGAGATTAGGGACTCGGACGCGCGCTACGGCAAGCCGCTGACGACGCCGTTCATGGGCGCGGGCATCGTCGACCTGCCGCCGCACTCGGAGAAGCGGCCCAAGAACTCGCGCAAGATGCACCTCGTCTTCTTCGTGCACTACGGCAAGGTCACGGTCAACATTAATGATGCGCAGTTTCGCATCTCGGCGGGCGGCATGTGGTTCGTGCCACGCGGCAACTACTATAATATTGCCAACGAGTTTGACTTTCCGGCGAGGGTGCACTTTGCGCAGGCGTGTGAGGTGTCGACCTCGCCGCAGGCGGTGGACGACATGACGCAGACGATTCTGGCGTGAATTGGGCGGATTGTCGATGCTGGCTTTCTTTTCTTTCGTCTTGTATGGATTTTTAGGGCGTCTTGGAAAAGGGATTTTCTTGTACGGATTTTGCATATTATTCGGCGAGCGTTGGCCGTTGTACTCGGATTTGGTGCTGATGGATAATCAATATACCCTTTGACGCGTTTATGTTTGCTGTCGACCCAGTTCGACCGCCCTAGACTCAATACCGATGAGCAATTCGATTTGCCTTTTGCACCAGATACATCTCAAGCAGATGATGGAACCTCGCTTGTTTCCTGGCTGTCATATCTTGGCTTGCCAATTATAACTGCTCACACGAGATGGCGCTAAGAGACAAAGCCCTTCGAACATTGACATCCTGAGCCTGCTACATGACTTGACAACGACCGTTTGACTTTGCAAAGAGCCGCCGCCGTCGGTGGTTCCAAGTCCTAGCTGCGCCGCTCGGCTTCTCACTGTTCAACAGCGGACTGCTGTGTCTACTTGATCTCCCTTCGATCCCGCCATCCTCCGGCTCTGAATCTTGACGCACATGTACACGCCCCTCTTGCGTATCAATGCGTGCGCGTGCATTCTTCGGTGTCTTCCCCCGCGTCTTTCCGTGCGATGGGGGCCCGAGAATACGGTCTCATCCCGCGGCAGATGATGGGCAAGTGTTGAGGTGCCCAACACTCCAGCGGCGGTGTTGACTGCGATAACGTTGCCGGTGATATTTTCCAGCTCTGGAGTGCTCTGTTTCATGCAGCAACGAACGATTTTCCTTGTTGCCCGTCTCATTGTCGCTAGTCGCCTTGCTGCTTGTCGAAAGCTTCTGCCAAGGGAGCGTAGAAGGACAGGTCGTACCACGCCTGTGCCTCAGTCTCATGTCAGACAGGCGTCGTAGGACGACCACTTCATGCACGGGGCCGCTCCAAAGGGAAAGCTCGCAGAGGGCCACCACCTTGTCAACCGTCGTTTGAAGCTATCGTGTGCTTCAGTTTCACCCGCTTCCGTACTGGTGTCTTGTGAGACGCCCTCGTAACTCCTGTGCAAAAACGATGTTGTCTGTCGCTCCCAACACTCTGGGTCATTAATCCCAGTGCTCCAGGCGCTGGTGATATCCCTTTATGAGGCAGTGCGGCCCCTGCGTCGTAGGCTGGCCACTATCGGGTCGTAAGAGCCGTTCCAGTGCTCGCGCCTTTGTTGGGTAACCTCAGGGAACACTTCGCGAAGAGATTGAGCTGTCATGATGACGCGGGTGTTGAGCAATATTTTACAGGCTCTGTATATGTACGTATGTATATATACTTGGTAGCATGTGCCGCCGATTTCTCTTTGAGCAGAAACAAAGGTCGCACCAACGAAGGCTTACGACATCAGACTTGCGTTTCAGGGAGCAAAGTGCATGCGATTACGAGCAAGTGAAAGGAAAGGAGAGCGATGTTTCTGCCCAATAATATCGTCACTGAATACCCTGTCTGTTGTGAAGGTTACACCTACCTGTCCGTGAACTATTGGCCATGGTATTCGACGGCAGTGCTAGGAGGCACATGCATCGTGGAACACACGCTGGCGTCCTTAAAATGCCGGTCTTTTTCTCATTTTCTCAGAAGTATATTATCAAGAGTTACTACAAGCTAGCCTCGCTCTTGATTCCCTAGAGCCCGAGCCCCTAACCTCATTATTCGCTGTACAAGGCGAGCCTACTAACATGAAGCTAAAGAATTTCCAAGACTTGAAAGATGCCCAAACCTGCTGGATCCAGCGTGACGAGACCGAACCCGAACAAAAGTTTACACGCATCCGAAAGATTTCGCGCAGTGATGCGGCGTTTGTGCTCGAGGGCGAACTTGACGAGAGCCCCTGCGTTGTCAAAGTGCTTCGACGCGAAACTGAGGAGGCAGTTATACCCACTGCGGAATCTTTTGAGAGGCAGAGCTCGCTTCTCAGACTTTTAAAGCATGTAAGTAACGAAATTCGTCAAGTACCCCTTCCTCGCCCCGAAAATCAGCTAATGGACATGCAGCCCAATATCGTGAAACTGTTCGACTCTGACGCCCGATTTCTCGCAATATTTCTGGAGCGGCTTCCATGGTCGCTAGAGACGTGGATGTTTGAGAATGTCACGTTCAACACCAACGACAGCAGTGCAATTATCTATGATGTTTGCTCTGGCCTTGCCGAACTGAATCAAAAGGACTTCTCTCACAATAACATCCAACCCGCGCACATTGCCTACTCATGGGAACGCGGCGCCGTCTTAATTGGATGGAGCAAGGCCACGAATATCGGGGAAATCGATCTTGAACAGTGTCCGGCTGCCTATTTGCCTCCTGAGTTTCTGAAAACTAATACAAAGGTAGGAGCAGAGGGGGACGTTTGGGCATTGGGCATTACTATGCTGTCGGTTCTTGGAAAGTTCCCGTTCGCATCATCGCTCACTGGCTCTAAAATCCGAACCATCGAGGAATCGCTTTGCTCCTTCGAAGTCTGGCTTGATACGGTTGATGATATGCGGAAACGGCTGGATGGTACTGTTCTCGTTGAGCGCATTGTCCGTGATATGCTTGATCCAGACCCAACAACTCGGATCTCAGTATCGAGGGTTCTTGAGAATGAAGAATTGAAAAAATGGAACTCAGAAAGAAATAGCAGAAGGAAGCTTCTCGAAACTTGAATGAGTGGGAACGAACTTTGTTCTGGCATTCTTGGACGCTGTCTCGATGAAGAGAATCACTGACTTGGTGGCGAATTCGGTAGTAGAAGTCGTGCGGCGGAGAGTCGGCGACTTGATTGGCAGTTTGGTGATAGGTAGCGACGAAAGAAAGAATATCATATTTAGATGTCTGCTTTAACTGTTCTCCTTCATGGAGGTCTTGTTGCGCTGTTTCGACTCTTACCCAGCTGGGAACTTGTGCAACCCTCGGGCGAGTAGCAGGCAACAATGTACATTCATATATAACAAAGTGAGCAGCTTGGTGCCCTCAGCTTTCACCGACTAGTCGCAGGCTTAATGGAGAGCTTTGTCATCCGCACCTTGAAATTCTACACCTTCTCCTCTCGTCCTCGGTCAGCTGCCGCCTAGACGACTTGTCCTCGGCATTCGCCATTCCAACCAGCAAACCTCCGCCCCGGGATGCACAGTTTCGCGCCAGAGTCATACACGGAAAGCATCAAAGGGGGCAGGATTTCAGCGCCAAGGAGATGAAAGGCTCGCGTTTGCGTGGCGGGAGACTGTCTGGGCGGTCCAGCGTCGGGTCATGCAGGGTAGTAGGGTATCACGGAGGTATGACAAGGGGCGCGCACCGAGGGGAGAGAAGAGAAAAAAAAGAAACCACCGAGCCTGGCCAACGAGTCAACTTACCTGATCGAAATAGAAATCGTGAGCCAATCCCACCGCTATGGTAACCCGCAGAGACGGGCTTCAGCCTGCCGCGGAGTAGGGGTAGGACACAGAGGACACAGAGGACACGGAGGACACGGAGGACACAGAGGCACACGTGTTGAGGGTTTACAGGCGGCAGTTGCAGCTGACAGCGTGTTTTGTGTAACCTGACACCACCGCATCACCAGGCTCAATTTTTTTTTTCTGTTTTTTTCCCTTCTCTCGTTCTTTTGTTCTCGGTGCGCCCATCCAGCAGCATGGAAGGAGATACGCGACGACGAGGCTGGGTGTAGGACGACGGGCTGGTCAAAGAAAGAGTCAATCAAACAGAGACAGACAGAGGCCCAGGCAGGTAGGCACTTGGGGGAAACAAACCTCTGGCCTTGTCTTCCATCCATCCATCCAACACATCAGACATCCCCCTTTCGACTCCGCCTCCTTCGACACTCGCATCATCCCGTGCCTCGTGTGTGATGCTCCCCAGAGCCAACCGGGTCGACGCTGCACCGTGTGTGTCGTCGTCCTGTCCCCGAGAATGAGGCGCGACTCTCGTCCCTCTCTGTCGATATACTACTCCCTTTCTCCCAGCCGGGCCGCCTTCCCCATTCCTTCCCCAGTCTTCTTTCTCTTCCCCAGTTCAATCTGATCATTCTGGTTGGCTTACAAAAGCCAACCCTTTGTTATTATTATCCCACGTCCGGTCAGTGAGTGAGTCAGTCAGTTGTCAGTCAGTCAGTCAGTCAGTCAGTCAGTCAGTCAGTCAGTCAGTCAGTCAGTCAGTCAGTCAGTCAGTCAGTCAGTCAGTCAGTCAGTCAGTCAGTCAGTCAGTCAGTCAGTCAGTCAGTCAGTCAGTCAGTCAGTCAGTCAGTCAGTCAGTCAGTCAGTCAGTCAGTCAGTCAGTCAGTCAGTCAGTCAGTCAGTCAGTCAGTCAGTCAGTCAGTCAGTCAGTCAGTGAGCCGCTCTCTCCCGACGAACCATGACTCGCAGAGACCTTCTTCTTGACCGTCACGTCCATGCGACCGCCGGTGGCCGCTCTCAACAAAGCTTCAGCTCGGGCATCGCCAAGCCCTACACCTGGCGCCGGCGCCGGCTGGGTTGGGCCTCCCGGCCCGTCGCCTCGATGAGGGCTCGCTGGCCCCGAAACTTCCAGGCTTGGTCTGCAGCCGAATCGCAACCAATGTCCGTTGCCGCGACGGTTTCCGACAGCGCGGGCGGCTTCAATGGTCCGGTGCATAGTGTACGCCAAGACCTTATGCGCGCTCACCACGAGTGCCTGCCCGGGGCTCGAATCATCATTGCCCGCCCGCCCAGCGTCCACTACCGGGAAGCAGCCCACGCGCCCCTGCTGCAGCCGGCTGAGTTTATCAGTCAATCCAGCGACGGCCGCAGCATCCTCGGCGTCTTGCAATGTCTCGAGGATGTCTGCTTCAAAATCCACGTCCCATTCATATCCATGTCCTCACCCGCCTGGCCGCCTGTCGATGAATTGCGATGCATCTTGGCATACAGTCCCAATGGCGAGAAGTGCGAGTTCTTTTGCAACTCTCATGACGTCACTCTTATCGGTGAGACATCTGCCGAACACCTGTCTGTCAAACTGGGGCAAATACAAATTATTGAACCGGGCATGTGGACAGTTGCTGTGTCTTCGGACCTGGTGTCTCCCGGGAACGGACCGGGCTGTCCGCGTGCGGTGGTGGAATTCCTGCTGCTGGAGCGCACGTACCAAGGTACTCTGTCAGGTCCAACAGTGGCAGAAGATGATGCACCCCCTACTTCCCCGGCGGAAGCTCATCATTCGACGGCGGCCATTCCCAACGCAGCTCCGGTCGATGACAGAGTAGCAGAGTTTGTCATGGGAACTGTTCAGTCACCCGAAGCCGAGACCAAGTTGGCGAGCATTCCGGAAGAAGAGCCACTCAGAATTGAACGGGGTCCTTTTTATTGCCTGCGGGACAGGGAGACCCTCCGGATTACAACGCGCCCGTCGGGAAGTAATAACGCTGGCATTGAACGTCGCTACGCGAGCACTGCCGAGTCGTATCAGGTCACACGCCTACGGAAAATTGATCGAAATCGACATTCGAGCGTGTTTGCCTGCATCCATAGCAAGCTCCCACACACTACCCTCGTGGCCAAGGCTCTCAATGTCAAACCCGGTGTTCGCAACTCCATTACTTCTCTTGCAAATCATTGGAAGAATGAGGTGGACGTACTGAAAAAGTTGAATCATGTACGTTGCATCGCGCGTTTAGCCCCCATTAAATTATTGATCCTAACATGATGAATAGAATAATATTGTAAAAATTCGGACGTATGATGCACGCTTCTTCACAGTCTACCTAGAGCATCTGCCCGACTCGCTGGCATCCTACCCCGAAGAGCCGGGCTTCACTCCAAAGGATGTCGAGACCATTCTGTTAGACGTCGCCTCGGCCCTCACCTACCTCGACGAGCAGAGGATCAGCCACAACGACATCAAGCCGCGCAACATTGCCTACTCGCCGGAGCGCGGCGCCGTCGTTCTCGACTTTGGGCTCGCGACCCAGGGCTCCCGGGTGCCGCGGAAGGCGGGCGGCACGGCGTGGTATGTGCCCCCCGAGGTGCTCTACGATGGCGCCCGGTCGCCCCGGGGCAACGTGTGGGCGTTTGGCATCACGATGCTCTACGTGCTGGGCATCATCGGTACGCCCGAGGACAGCGGGAGCGCGTGGGACTTTCTCAACCTCAAGGACCCCAACGGCCCGGACCGCGTCGCCATGGAGGGCTGGCTCGACTTGATCTGCGATAAAGTCGACGCGCTGGACTGGGACGACCCGGTGCAGTTCGTGGTGTTCTGCATGATGGACCAGGATCCGCTTGTACGCCTCGCGGCGAAGGATATTGAACCTCAGCTAAGGAAAAAACAGTTGGCAGCGAATACGGAAGCGAATTAGGTACTTTATGTTTTCTTTCTTGTCTCATTTTTGGTTTGTTCGGTGAAATTACGGCCGCTACAATTCACGTGTATATGATTATTTATATAAATTCTGATGTAAACTTACAATGCTGAGGATCGTAATGCCATGTTGGACGATCTACCACATCTTATCATTGACGATGCAAATCGTCATTGCATCCCTGCCTCGCGGAGAGTCGGTGTAAGCGCACTGGCACCGACGGGCGCACAGGGGCCATGCAGGATAATCTACAGCCAATGAATGAAATTCAGGGCGCGCCTTGTTCTGATGGCTACATCACCGCATCGAGTGACTTTTGCCCTTGATTTTTGGGGGCAGCGAGCCCTTGTGCGCAAAGGGTGCGACGCAGCATTGGTCACGGGTAAGACCACTGCTCGGCACTCCATATCGGAGACTCGGGTCGGCGGCCCAGTCTCAGACCCAATCTACAGAGAAGAAGATACAAACGCTTCATTTGCTTCACCCCATCAACAACTCGGCTGTCATTTTCGTGTGCGTTGCATATAATTTCCTTTGTACGTTGATTTGTTCTCTGTTTTTTCCTTTCCCTTTTTGGGGTTTACTTTCGAGTGCGCTTTTGGAGAGACACACACACGACGCAGCACTGCCCCGCGATGATCAGCTTCCTCGAGGAGGAGGGGTGCAACGCGAGGGGCGGCGGTGGCTACGGTGCGGGTGCGGCGGCGGCGGCGGCGGCGACGACCAGCGAAGAGAGCGGACGGCCCAAATTCTGGATCGAGTTCCGGACGTTTGACGATGGCATGCACACTACAGAGGAAACGTCCTCGTCGTCGACGCCAGCAGCTTCGTTCCCCCAGTTCGTGCGGCTGCCCCCGGAGCTGCGCCTGAAGATCTGGGAGTACCTGGTGCGTCCGCGCATCGTCGTGGCGTGCTGCCTGGAGCGCGACGGGCGGCTCCCGGAGCGACGCGCGCAGCTGCGCAAGCGGACGGCGGGGGAGTCTACTACTACGGACGGCCACGACGACGATGGCGGCATCGCCAACGGCAGCTGCAGCCCCGTGCTGCTGCGCATCAACCGTGAGGCGCGCAGCGTAGGCCTGCGCTTCTACGAGCTCACCTTTAGCTGGCGCATCTCCAAGCTGCTGTCCGACACGCCCGTGTCGCAGCCCGCGCGCGTGTGGTTCAACTTTGCCCTCGACGCGCTGTACCTGACTGGCGAGCTCGAGGCCTTTGACGCGTACGGCTTCAACTCGCCCATGGTGTACTTTCTGCGGCCCGAGGACACGCGCCGCGTGCGCCACGTCGCCTGCGCCTTCGCCGAGCTCGGCTACCCGCGCCTCGAGAGCGACCAGATATTCGGGTGCCTGTGGCACGTCGCGGACCGGTTTCGCGCGGCGGAGAGGCTGCTGCTGGCGCTGGGGCCCGGCGAAGAGGAGGTCGCGCACTGTAAGAAGTTGGCGGCGTCGAAGTCGTCGTCGTCGTGTGGCCGCGAGGCGGGGTGCGTCTTGACGCTGACGGACGAGGACAACGTGATGCAGAAGATTTGGGAGGGCTGGATGGGCACGGTTCGGGGCAGGCATGTGCAGGACGACCGGACGCAGCTGGTGGACAAGAAAATGGTGTTGGTGCGGGAGGAGAGCCTGGCTGATGTGATTTCTAGCTTTTAGACGCCGAGGGGAATGCCGGCGGAGACGCAATTGAGTCCGTAGACGAACTGTATGAATCAATACAGCTCCATCCTGCGTCGTTGACCGGGTCGGTTACGTTGCTCTAAGCGACGCAGCAGCTTAGCACTGGTGCAAGTCTCTCAAGGTGGTGACCGAGCTGGCCACCCTTTTGGGCAGAGAGTTTTCGCATCGAGGATGCAAGCGGCATCGACCCAGCCACGTAGGCTAGCTAGCGGAAGCATAATCAGCGGCCCATGGCTGCGGCTTGGTGTCGCAACAAGGTTTCGGATGGGCGGGTTACAACAGGTCTGGAGTGGCTGTTGTTGGGCCGTGATGGTTGGTTGGACGGGTATCGACCTGAAGCTTCCGCATGGGAGCTGTGAAATTAGAGCTCAACAGCTGGAATTCGACCTGCGAGTGATGTCAAAATGTAGAGAAGATGCATCGTATTGGCCCTTGAAACACTAGGAATAAAAGTTTTCATGACATTTGCTCTGTCACAAGCTTCGTCTAGTCGTCCATGACGACCATCGAGGCAATTGCATGGAGCAAGGAGCCACAAAATTTTCGTCACTCTCGAGCGAGACTTTTTTTTCTTCCGTTGGCCTCCCTTCGACTGGCGCCCCACTGACGCGGATTTTTGGCTGCTTGGGCACAGCTGCAGCCACGCGCTGCGGAAGAAGAGGTACGTACCTTTTATGTAGCTGCGCCCCACCACCCCGCCACGCCAGCCACAGAGGGGCAGCTCCGTTCGTTGCCTTGCCACTGCAGAGCTTTCTGCAAGCTGCAGCGCTAGATCTGACGGAGGAACAAAAGAACAAGGCGTTCCGTTGCCCGGAGGAGGAAATGGAGGGGAGGCAATGAAGGCCGGCGTGGAATTGTTCGAGGGCGGTGAGCTCACACACTGCAGATTTTAAGGATAGAAAATATAAAAATTATTAGAGAGATTAAAGAGATTAGAGAGACAAAAGAGACTACAGAGATTAGAAAGACAAAAGGGATTATAGAGATCAAGAAGATTAAAGAGATTAGAAATACTGCAAAGATTTAAAGGATTCGAGGGATTAGCAAGATGACTTTTAGGACACCGGGGAATGGCCTTTCGTTAGACCGCGGGGCAGTTAACAGATGAAGCATTTGTCGTCATTTGCTCTGCCTGTCAACGCAACAGGCCTGTTCGACTGGCAATTAATCGTAATATGACCCTTGAGACTCGCTCTTTCTAGGTCGATCCATCGAGTTCGGCTTCCTGTAGCCCCGTCGAATGGGCTGGCGCTGAGCTCTCACCAAGCACACTAACGTTGACTATGACGCCCGTCCAACAATCGCCAGTCTGGAGGGGCAAAGGGGAAAAAGTCGGAGGTGGGGCGGCATGTATTGAGTACTTCGTGCCCACCGCTCTCAGCGCGGGTAGCCAAAGTAGAGGGAACCTGTCCGGATGCCCCGCGATGGAAAAGCGAAGTGCCTCATCGAAGGTGGGATGGAGCTGTGAAAAGGCACGGGAGGAAGAAGCGAAGAGAGCACAGAAACGAAATTGAAACACCAGGGTAAGATAAACGGGCAGATAAGGACGTTGACCAGCAACTCACGCACTTCCATTCACTCTGAAAGTGTTGTGCAGACACCCGCCTTTTTGTCAGGGTGTTTCCAGCGGCCTGCAGCGACCTCCAGGCGGCTCCAGCAGGCTCCAGCCGTTGCCACAGGCTTCCACAAGCCCCTGCCACCCGCTAGTGGATTCTGTTGGAAAAGTTTCGAAGCACATAGAATCGGCCACTCCGTCGTATTTAGGATGCTCTTTGCATCCTGCTCACTCCAAAAAACTTTTTGTTATTCTCTCATACACACTCACACTTTATACCCTTTCTCTAAATCATCAAGAAGAAGAAGCACATCTTCTACTTGTCTCCGCTCCCACACACGCCTGAGCGTTTTCTTCCCATTGACATCTCAACCCTCTCCATTTCCCCCTCATCTACAACCTCACAACACCACACACAATGGCGTCTTCCACCGCTGTCGGTATCGATCTCGGTACCACCTACTCCTGCGTGGGTATTTTCCGCGAGGATCGTTGCGACATCATCGCCAACGACCAGGGTAACCGCACCACCCCTTCGTTCGTTGCCTTCACCGACACCGAGCGCCTCATCGGTGATGCCGCCAAGAACCAGGTCGCCATGAACCCTCACAACACCGTCTTCGACGCCAAGCGTCTCATTGGACGCAAGTTCTCCGACTCGGAGGTCCAGGCCGACATGAAGCACTTCCCTTTCAAGATCATCGATAAGAGCGGCAAGCCTGTCATCGAAGTCGAGTTCAAGGGCGAGCAGAAGAACTTCACCCCCGAGGAGATCTCCTCCATGGTCCTGACCAAGATGCGCGAGACTGCTGAGGCTTACCTCGGCGGTACCGTCAACAACGCTGTCATCACCGTCCCCGCCTACTTTAACGACTCTCAGCGTCAGGCTACCAAGGACGCCGGTCTCATCGCTGGCCTCAACGTTCTCCGTATCATCAACGAGCCCACCGCTGCTGCCATTGCCTACGGTCTTGACAAGAAGGTTGCTGGCGAGCGTAACGTTCTGATCTTCGATCTTGGTGGCGGTACCTTCGATGTTTCTCTCCTTACCATTGAGGAGGGTATCTTCGAGGTCAAGTCCACCGCTGGTGACACTCATCTTGGTGGTGAAGACTTCGACAACCGCCTGGTCAACCACTTTGTATCTGACTTTAAACGCAAGAACAAAAAAGTGAGTGTATATAACTCCTCTTTCCTTTTTATTTCTGTTCGTTGAAGCTATCCCAAGATTTTTTTTTTTGGTTTCTTTATCATGGCATCCACCCACCCCTGAGCTGCTCCCGCCGCCAAAACTTGGCGAGATGGCGAAAGAGCAAGATGGGAATTAGCATCTTTTATTTTACCTCTCGCGATGCCCTCATTTCAGCTTCATTTTTGCAAATTTTACCAAATCGCCATGCTAATTGTAATCAGGATCTATCTACCAACGCCCGTGCCATGCGCCGTCTTCGCACTGCTTGCGAGCGCGCCAAGCGCACTCTCTCTTCGTCTGCTCAGACCTCAATTGAGATCGACTCTCTCTTCGAGGGTATTGACTACTACACCTCCATCACCCGTGCTCGTTTCGAGGAGCTCTGCCAGGACCTCTTCCGCTCGACCATTCAGCCCGTCGACCGCGTCCTTGCTGATGCCAAGATCGACAAGAGCCAGGTCCACGAGATTGTGCTCGTTGGCGGCTCCACCCGTATCCCCCGCATCCAGAAGCTCATCACCGACTACTTCAACGGCAAGGAGCCCAACAAGAGCATCAACCCCGACGAGGCCGTCGCCTACGGTGCCGCCGTGCAGGCCGCCATCCTGTCTGGCGATACCACGTCGACTTCTACCAAGGAGATCCTGCTCCTTGACGTTGCTCCCCTGTCTCTCGGTATCGAGACCGCTGGTGGCATGATGACCAAGCTCATCCCTCGCAACACCACCATTCCCACCAAGAAGTCCGAGGTCTTCTCTACCTTCTCTGACAACCAGCCCGGTGTCCTCATTCAGGTCTATGAGGGTGAGCGTCAGCGCACCAAGGACAACAACCTTCTCGGCAAGTTCGAGCTTACCGGCATCCCCCCTGCTCCTCGCGGTGTTCCCCAGATCGAGGTTACCTTCGATCTTGATGCCAACGGTATTATGAACGTCTCTGCCGTCGAGAAGGGCACCGGCAAGTCCAACAAGATCGTCATCACCAACGACAAGGGCCGTCTCTCCAAGGAGGACATTGAGCGCATGCTTGCTGATGCCGAGAAGTACAAGGACGAGGATGAGAAGGAGGGCCAGCGTGTCTCTGCCAAGAACGGCCTTGAGTCCTATGCTTACTCTCTTCGCAACACCCTTGCCGACTCCAAGGTTGACGAGAAGATCGAGGCTGACGACAAGACCAAGCTCACCGCCGAGATCGACAAGATTGTCCAGTGGCTCGATGACAACCAGCAGGCCACCAAGGAGGAGTACGAGGAGCACCAGAAGGAGCTCGAGGCTGTTGCCAACCCCATCATGATGAAGTTCTACGGCTCTGGTGGTGAGGGTGGCATGCCCGGCGGTATGCCCGGCGGCATGCCCGGCAGTGCCCCTGGCGGCTTCCCTGGTGCCGGTGGCGCCCCCGGCGCTGGCGGCGACGACGGCCCTACCGTCGAGGAGGTCGACTAAATGCTTTGATACCCCCCGACCATCCAGCTGGACTTTCAGATTGGCTCATGTCCGCACTCGGAGGCTCTTTTGAGGTTGCAGAGATGATGAATGATTTTTTTAGAGCTAAATTTCTTTTGTACTGGCTTTGCATCACGGTTATATGATAAGGGAACCAAAAAGAATGAGGCTGGCTATTTGCTGGCGGATGTACTTTAATGAATAGGGCAATAAAAGAACCCCATTAGACGAATAACTTGCTCATGAAATGTGCTTGTGATGATTAGTGAATGTGGAATGCTGCTTTTCGCATAGTTGATTTTGTCCTCGCTATCCTCGCTATCCTCGCTATCCTCGCTATCCTCGCTATCCTCGCTCGCTATCCTCGCTCGCTATCCTCGCTATCACAGCTATCATCGCTATCATCGCTATCACAGCTATCATTGTAGGCCTCTTCGGCGCTGGCCATGATAGTGATGATAGCGATGATAAAACTAAGCAATGACGATGCAAATTCCAAAATCGGCTATGCAAAAAGTAGCGTTCGTGATAACTACGACTCCAAAACACTTACTATCGTTGCCAACGTTGAGAAACGGGTAAGCGCTGGCAAAGGCAGTCTTCTGGGCAAGGGAGGTTCTGAATAACAGAGGTCCTAAACACAGAGGTAGGTAGTTTAATTATGTATCATTTTCGCGTAGACCGGAGCACAGAGAAAAACAACGGCCACAGTACGAGAAGAACAGAACAGACAGGGATGGCTAGATTGATGCGTTGGCGGTGCCGATGAGCTTGGCCAGTACTGGGAGGATTTGGATGGCGAGGCCAGGCAGTCAGTGGTTGATAGGAATAAGCAATGGGGGGAATCTATTGAAGCCTTCGTCAGCCTGTCAAAGGCCGTGACACGTTGAACATCGGCCTGACAGGGTCCAGATGCTGACGGAAAACAGCGTCACTAACGATGACAGAGTTCCTTTCCAGAGAACCCCCGGCCGTCGTTCCCACGTAGGGTATACAAATTGAATCTATACTAACACAGATAATACAACAATGCCACCTTTCCTTGGCATGTATACATCACCGATCCGTCTTGCCAAAGCCCAGCCCGTCACGAATCTTTTGTCTGCGCTCCGTCTCCATCTCGCGCCACTCCTCGTCCGCCACGACCGGCAAGTCAATGCTCTCCGCAAAGGCCTCGCCCGGTCGGACCTTTTCCCTCCGCGCCTCCCACACGTCCTCGCTGTTGGCCTTCCCCGGCGCGTAGTACTTTGCGTGCTCCCTGTTCCGGTAGTGCGCGCGGACGAGCTCCTCCTTGACGGGGCCGGAGGCGGCGCGGTGGCGCATGCAGAACCAGAAGTCGTCCCACTTCTCGGAGCAGGCGCGCATCTCGCCGTAGCGGTAGACGGCGTTCCACTGGCCGCCGACCGAGTTGCAGGCCCAGGCGGCGTCGAAGGCCTGGCGGCAGGACATGTCGGTCGGGAGGAGCGACTCGGACAGCGGGTCGCGCCGCGGGGCGTCGGGCTCGCGGTAGAGCGGGTTGTCTTTCGGGGTGACCATCTTGGCGAGCCACTCGGGGAGCGGTGACGGCTTGGGGGGCTGAGAGGAGGAGGAAGGGGAGGCTGCGGCGGCGGCTTCTTCGGCTTTGAAAAAGTCCATGAGCTTTTGGAGCTCGGCGTCGTCGGGGGACTGCGACTTCGGTTGCGGCGGTTGTGGCGGTTGTATGGGAGGTGTTTGTGAGGAGGGATTCGTGGGGGGAACGTCTTGGGGTGCTGGCGACGCCGCCGCTGCGGGCGTTGAATTCGAGGTCCATAGCCAGCCCATGATCGCGATGCGTTGCGATTCTGCCGCAAGTGTTGTCTGATCGATGTGCGCTTGGGGAGGATTGTGTGCCGTCGGCAGGGCTTCGCTTCTTCCGCGGTTGTGTAGTTTGTCGGTGCGCTTAATCAATCAATGCGCGCAAATGTGATAGATTCGCAATGATCCGGGTTGGTATGATGTCTTTGCTGATCGCACCTTTTGAACTTTTTGGGAGTTTGCTGTCACTGTCTGCATGGGGAAAAATGATTCGCCGCCCCGCTCTTCTCAACGGCGACGTAACAGAGGCAATGACCTCATCATGAAGCACAACCGAAAACAGTCAATGTGGACATGAAAATTCCAATAAGCTGGAATTCAATAATATTAACAGAAAATATAAAAGCTTCAACAATAAATCTGGGACTTTCCATCCCCAAGATATAAAATTTTGGGTTTAATTCAGGCGCTCTAACGATTCGCCCCTGCCTCTTGCAATGGTGGGGAGCTAGGTACAAGCTACCAAGTTAACCTTGAGGCTTCCAGGCCCCAAACCTCGCCTTGACAAGCTCAAGCTCAGCTCACCCCCGTGGTCAAGGCCACGATGACTACTTCTTTCCGATCCTAAAAGACGTTCCTGCTGCCTACATAATGTACGCGCGCATGCGTCTCGCGGCCATGGCTGCGCGGCCGCTGGCGCGAGCATCAGCACTGCGCCCGTGTCTCGTGAGACACAGCCTTGCCTCGCGCCATATCGACAACGCGGTTCTTCGACAGTCAATCGCCAGAAGAGCGTGGCAGAGCACGATAGCGACGCCCCCGGTCGATCCCGCAGCACCGGCCGCCAATGATACGACACAAAACACAATCTCTGAGGAAAAGGACACTGGCCATTTTGAGGTCAAGGACAATGAAGCTATCCTATTCTTTGACAGTATGCACTTCAGATTGCAACTGCGCGTAACGGAACGCTGACATGAATCCGTAGACATCTTTCCCCTCAAGATCATGAATGTGCTGCGCAGAAACGAGAGCGACAGCGAGCTCGCAGATTTGATGCGCCGCTTTGATAGCTCGAGGCTCGGCATTATGGATCCCATTCGTTTGGTTAAGATGGCCATCCCTGAAGATATGCCTATCAAAGTCACGGAAATTCTACCCCGCTTAAAGGACGGCGGTGCATTTGTCAAATTTCGGTACAGCTCTGAACTAGACCCAGCCGAGATTGAATGTAGGTGAAGATGCTCTACGCAACAAGGCCCACGCTGACCTTTTCCGTTTGCAGCAACATTGAAAAAGAGGCTCCAGGAGAAACCGCTCAAACCCTGGTTCAATCCGTTCCGAGGCATCCAGGCCCGTTTGGTCAGAGGCACTCCTTGGTTAGAGGACCTGCACCGCTACCCTTCTGGCGTGCTGCGAGTCGAATTTGTGCCCGCCGAGGTTGGCACAACGCCAGAAACGCTCCCAGAGGAAGTCTTGTACAGCGTCTTTCGCCGGTACGGCAAGATTGCCGATATTATTCCGCAGTCTGCAGACTCCAAGGAAGTTCCCAAGTATGCCAATATTGGCTTCCCGCTCCTGCGTGACGCCATCATGGCGAGAAACTGCGCGCATGGATACGTCGTCTCCGAATCACAGGGCGGTGGAGCGGCCGGAACGATGCTTCGCATATCCTACCTCAAGCGAGTAAAGGGTCATACTATCTGGAACTGGATAACAAGCCACCCACGCATCGTATTTCCCATCATCGCCGCTCTTCTTGCTGGCCTTTCCGTCATAATCTTCGATCCTATTCGGCAATTCTTCATACGCCTGCATATTCAACATTCTTTCAACTTTAGCGAATCACGATTATACAAGTGGTTCCAGAGCCACCGACAATCATTTTCCTTTGGCAAGCACCGCGAGCAGTGGGAAACGTTGAGCAGTGCGATATGGAACCATCGGTTGGATGTCATTAGCCAGCTACGTGAGTGGCTCGACGTTACTTCCGACAACTTCATCGTCGTTACTGGACCGAGGGGTTCCGGCAAGGTTGAAGTTGTGATGAAGAAGGTTCTCGAAAGCCGCCGAGACGTCGTTCTGATTGACTGCAAGCCTATTGTTGAAGCACGCGGGGAGTCCGCTATGATCGGTAGACTTGCTTCCGCTGTTGGATACCGCCCCGTGTTTTCCTGGGCCAATAGCGTGAGCAGCCTGATTGACCTCGCTGTTCAAGGCACGACTGGTGTCAAGGCGGGCTTTTCCGAGACACTCGAGTCCCAGCTCACCAAGATCCTGTACACCACTGCAAGTGCGCTCAGGGATGTGGCCTTGTCCGGCCGATCAAGCAAGGAAAGAGACGGCAGCACCTCGGAGGATGCTTGGCTCGAGGCCCACCCGGAACGAAGGCCCGTTATTGTCATTGACAACTTCTTGCACAAGAGCGACGAGCAGGGCATTGTCTACGACAAGATTTCAGAGTGGGCAGCTTCTTTGGTGCAAAATCACGCTGCTCAAGTCATCTTCCTGACTAGCGAGAACGCATATTCCAAGCCGCTGACACGAGCTCTACCTGATCGCGTGTTCCGTGTCGTCTCTCTTGGAGACTTGGATCACGGCGTGGCGAAGAAATACATTATGGGCCGCATTCAAAACGATCGTGAAGCTGCAGAGGAGCGAAAGGAGAAAGAGGAGGGCGACAAGGTCACTAGGGCCCCCAACCTTGGCGGCCTCGACATGGCCATTGACACACTGGGTGGCCGCCTGGTGGACCTCGAATCCCTCTCCCGGCGCATACAGTCAGGCATGAGCCCGAGCGACGCGACAGATGAAATCGTCACGGAGAGCGCAGTGGACATTGTCAAGATGTTCTTGTCGAGCAAGGGCAGCGAGGCGGCGGAGAAGAAGTGGTCCACGGCGCAGGTGTGGCACCTCGTCAAGGGCCTGGCCAAGGAGTCGTCGCTCATCTACAACCAGGTGCTGCTGTCGCCAACGTTTTCGTCCTCGACAAGCCCGTCGGCTGTAGACGGAGAGGCGGCTCTAGAGTCACTGGCGGCGGCGGAACTCATCTCGATTCGGTCGGACCGGGGGCACCCGCGGCTGATCACGGCGGGCAAGCCGCTGCAGGCGGCGGCATTCGCGAGGATGGTCGCGGACCGGGTACTGGTGGCCAAGATGGACCTGGCGCAGCAGAGCGAGCTGGCCAAGATTGAAGCAAAGAAGATTGCGGGCGCGGAGAACGAGCTGGCGCTGCTGGGCAGCTTGCCGCGGCAGACGAGCGAGTCGGCGGGCCGGGTGCAGTACCTGCTGGTACAGATTGACACGGCGCAGCGCAAGATTGAGGATTTGGACAAGCAGATGGCGGCGTGCAAGAAGATTTTGAGTGAGGAAGTTTAACAGTGGTTTCTGTCCTTGGAGGCGTTTCGGGGTCTTTTTAGAGATGCGACGCAGGGGAGTATCGGTCGTTCCACTCATTCTACAGGACTCGAATACAATATCTCTACTTTGTTGTTTGTAACTCCGTACCTTGAATGCCTTGTAGGATGAGCAAAGCCCTCCCCCATTCAGATCAACCACGCACCACCAGCTCGTCTTCCGCGCGGCAGCATCACCAGCACCAGCACCAGCAGCACAACCAGCCTCATGCTGTGTCTCCCACTGTGACATGCTCACGCACAAGGCCCAAGGCTTCTTTTCCGCGACAGTAATAACTGGCGTTTCAGTGCATAGTTTTGCGGGGTGCATAAGATGCCAAGTCAACGAAGCCACCAGCAACACTCCCACTCCCAGCACACGCCCAACCCATCTCGGGTAATTGGATCTCGTGGGCTCATTCGTTGGATGGCCCAAGTGCGCGGCAGGGGAATCGATTACATAAAAACAACGGGGTTGTGTGTGCCGTGAAATGAGGGGTAGAGTCCCAGCCCGTGGATCAAATGAACAGAAAAAGCCACATGAAATACACACACGCGAGCGCACAGAACGAACCAGTCGTTGTGAATTTTTCCCTACTGGGCATTTGTGCCGACGAACAGCTGGGGCTGGCTGCTGGCATGGGCCTTCCCCGCGCTGAGTTCGTTGGGGCGGTTGGCTTCGGCGGTTCCCCCCCCCCCCCTTCTCCTTAAAATACGGGGTAAGACATGCAGTAACTTTCCCAATTTCTCACCCCTTCCCTTGTTAGGCTTGGAGGACCGTAATAAGCTGTTAGCACGAATAGGGTGCGCTGGGTTAGGTAGGGCATTGTTTTCGGCGTCGGCGTCTGCCGATGGGGGCCTTTTTGGGATGAGAACGGGGAGGGGGAGGGGGGTGTGTGCGGGATCGCGGTGAAGGGGAAACAGAAAAGGTGACATGGGCGAATTGTCCAAGAGGCGATTGGATAATGGAAATTCAATCACCAATCCCACCCAGTACGAAAATGCCCAATGCACATTTGTGTCTGTCCTCGTTTCCTCCTGTCGCAGTGGTGTAGGGAGGCATGCGGGTAAAGCCAAGGCTTGCACCAGAATGGGCTGTGTGAGTGTGTGTGTGACCGGAGGCTGGAGGATGACACGATGGCAAAAATGATAAAACATCGTGAGTTTGCCTCTCCCCCCCAGAAAACAGCGTGGCCAAAAGGAAAAAGGGTCTTGTGACCGACCCTACTTTTTTTCCCCAGGCGGCGCCAATGCAATACAGGTACGGGCGCGTACAGTGAGTGGTGTGACTTGAGGGAAGCTGACGCCATGGAATGCGTCGGTGAGCTGCTTTTTCAGTCATCAATCGTGCAAACGGTTGTGCGCATTGTTGTCGTGTGCACTCTAGCCCGTCAGTTGTTCCAAGAAATAGAGGGAGAGCCGAGAGAAAACGAAGGCGCCCTCTCCGCTCGCGGTACGGAGCCGAACTCGGCTCCAGCCCGCGGGGAAGTCGGCCGCGAACGTCCCCTAGTGACATGAACAACGCCACAAGCTACCTAACTCAGCTTATGTAGGCTACCAGCAGTTAACAAGTATGCTGAGTGAGCCTTGCTGCAAGAGATCGTATAACAGTGACCGTTATTACTGGACGCGGATGCTCTGCGCGGGGTCGATGCCGTCAGCGACCCGAGTTTGCAAACATTTGTCTCCGGGCCATCCGCAGGAGACGTGCAAGTCGCTGGTTGACGACAATATTAGGCTTCTTGAACTTCTTGAAAGATTGCAATAGTAAACTAACCAGCCACTCCGATTCACCTAATTCATTTTCAATTAATTTCCCAGACCAAAGATGGCGGAAAAAACTGTCGTCTTCATCACCGGCGCAAATACCGGAATCGGCTACGAAACCGTACGCGCACTCGTGGGACAGACGGCACGGACATATCACGTCTTTCTCGGCAGTCGCTCGGTTGAGAAGGGAAACGCGGCTGCTTCGGCTCTACGGGCTGAGTTCCCTCAGACGACCAGCGTGGTGGAGGTGATCCAGATTGACGTCTCAAGTGACGAGTCCATCAACGCCGCCTACGAGACAGTCAAGGCGAGCCCAGGCTACGTTGATGTGCTGGTGAACAATGCCGGTATGACTTTAAACCATGCCATTACCAAGATGGCTTGATGCTTCCATGCTCACCTTGGTTGCAGTCGATGCTAATGGCGCCCGCCCGCAGGCAACTCACTCGAGATGAAAATGTTTAAGGGCGAGTACACCATGCGCGAGGCGTGGAACCAAATGTACGACGTCAACGTCACTGGCGCACAAATCCTCACGCACACCTTTGTTCCGCTGCTGCTGAAGTCCCGGACCAGGGACGCGCGCCTGCTGTTCCTGACCAGCGGCCTGGCGCAGCTCGAGACCATGTACCGGGAGTACTACCCGGGCCCGCCACCACCGGCTGGGTGGCCGAAGCAGGCCGTCATGAGCCCGGACGGGTACCGCTCGAGCAAGACGGCGCTCAACATGATGATGCTGGCATGGCACTGGAACTTGAAAGAGGACGGCGTCAAGGTCTGGAGCATCTCGCCGGGGTTCCTGGCCACGGACCTGGGCGGCGCCAAGGAGCTGCTCAAGGCGCGCGGGGCGGGCGACCCGGCAACCGGGGGCGTACTGATCAGGAGGGTTATTGAGGGAGAGAGAGACGGCGACGTGGGCAAGGTGGTGGACGGGCAGGGAGTACAGTCGTTTTAGCGGTGATGCCCGTGAGATGGAATGTGTATATGGGGGAAGCGCGGTTCTACTGGTGCATGTCATGCAAGACGATTGACCAAGGTTAGGCTGCAGAGTGTTCTATATGATACACAGGTGCAAGTATGATCCGAGGAAAGGTGCAGCAGCAAACGTCCGAGAGGCGGAGGTGTGAGGTGTAAGGGGTGGTGTGAGTGTGGTGATGGTGGTGGTGTGGCAGATGCTGGCTGTTAGCTGCAGGGGAGGAGCGCGTGACGAGGGGAACAAGTTGGGGTAGTGTGAGATGGGCTAAGAGCTAGCGATGGTGGGACCTACAAAGAACGGTGTACGCAATGATTAATAAGAAGATCTTTACCAGACATGGCTGGAAGAGGCGTGAAACTTCTCAGTGAGTAGGCGTGGACGAGGTGAGTGTGAGATGCATTGTGAGATGAGTGATGAGATGACGGCGGTGAGATCAAGTGAGACAACAAGGTAGCAGCAATTGACATGCTGGCAAAGGAAACGACTTGCTGCTTGGCTCTGAATTGTTGAGACTGGGCAAGGGCAAGTTTCCATGACTAACAAGGACGGTCATCCAGGCCGTGCCCTGCAGGCTAGTAGAGGCGGAGGCGGATGCGGAGGCTGGGGGGACCACGATGCGGCGATGGGCTGTGATGCGGAGGACAGACTTTATTGGAGAGACCAAAGTAAAAACAAATCGTCGAGCTGCGCGGCTGGGGCAAAGTGTGTCCCGCCTTCCCTGTTGCTGCGGTACTCGGTGCGCTCTTGCGTCCCAGCATCTCGGGACGTCTCACATGACTTGGATTACGAGACGTTGCGCAGCAGGACTGGCAAACGAGTCGGGGTTTAAGAGGAGAGTGAGGCTATGGAGATGGAGATGGACCGGCAATTGTTGCTCACCAGCTGGGCAAGCAATGTGAGCACAGACGTTTTTTCTGCCCCTGGAGATGCCTGTCTCAGTGCTGTCTAAGCTTATTCCTGAGCGTTGCAGCGGCCCAGGCCGACGTCGGATACGACGGTATGTAGGGATAGGGAGCACATAGGTAGTACGAAGTGCTCGCAGATGGCTCGAGAAAGAGATGTGAGAAGTGACTGACGGGCCGTGGTGATGATGTCCAGCAGCATCAAGATGTATGTACAACACGGTTGGCTGGTGGAAATGTGACGGTGATGCTAGCGTTCTGGTAGGGCCCTTGGAAAAAGCTGGGATAGAACCTGGAAGAACGGAAGGCGAAAAAATGGTAGGGGTTAGTAGGGCCTGCTAATGTGGCGCCACCCACCCCAGATGAACATTTTTCTAGCGAAATTCCTTATTCCTTTTGGCAGCGGCCTCGCATTCCGGGCGGCGTTAGCGGAGGACCTACACGAGACGGGCTCCGCAGCGGTCGAGGGACCTGCTTACTTACCTGTTCGCAGTAAGTATTCGTATCATGTCTGCAAACCCTTTTAACCCGTTTGTTCAAAGCCACGATATTTAATTAAAGAAAAAAATTACTCGAGAAATCCAACTCGTTGTATACTTTATTACCTAACTCTAACCTCTCTCAAACATGCTGTTGTCGACCTGCTTTCCACCAAGTAGTGCCCGCTGACCCCGCGACAATGGCGCTGGCGCAGACACCACCTGACCCAACACTCTCAAGCTAGGCACCTACCTAATTTCAACTAATAAAATATTTTTTTTTCTTCGTCTTTTTTACTGCGACACGCCCCCATCTCGGAACCGTCTCCAGTCAATCCAGCCTAACAAGGTCCTTCTCCTCGTAAGACCAAGCCCACGACTCGTCTTCATAAAACCATCGATGCCCCTTCCTCGCCTGTTTCCCGCCCTCCTTCCTCCACCACACTGGAATTGTTTTCATTTCTTCTCCTATCGATTTTCCTCTTCTGCTCCGACTTTCACCACCCCATTGGTGACTCGCAAGCTTCTCTGTGCTGATGCATAAACTTAATATCTGTCCACGCTAAACACCACAGACGAGCATCACCGGTCACCGACCAACTGCAGGCTAAAGCCGACGCTGGCCATTTTGTCTACTACGCCCACCACCCACTCTTACTACAACCACTCCGTTCCCAACGCCACCACCACCAGGACTACTCCAAGCCATCGAAGAGTGACACAAGACATTTCGCACCAAAACACGCCCCCTCAACCCCGCGACTCACTCTCGCTCCTTTTCCTCTAAACAACAGTCTTCTCTCGTCAACCAGCCACCAGCAGCTTACCGGAGACGAATATCAAAGCTCTCAGCTGCTGCTCCCATCTGAGAACAAACACCACAAACCTCCCGACCAACCCCCGCAAACAACCCCCCCGACAACTTACATGGCCGTGCCTCCGGGAGCCGAGCGCCGCAAGGTGTTCGACTTCGACACTGCCATGTTTGTCAAGGGCACCAGCATGGCCCGCGCAATGTCCCCTTCCGCCTCCGAGGCTACCTCGCGCTCCTCCTTCTCCTCCGTCCGCGAAAACGACGACGGCTTCGCCCAGACCTTTACTCGATCCAAAATCTCCTCCTACATCGACACTCCCGTCGACGTCTTTGACGAATCCGGCTCTCCCGACGTTGAGAGCCCCCCGCCCGTCTTCCAGCCTCCTGTCACTCAGCCCAACTCCAAGCTTCATGGCTTCTGGTATCCCGCCGAGGGCTTCAAGGGCTGGCGCGAGATCCCCATCAAAGGGAGCAGGGTTGCTAGCCGCAGCTGCGATGACCTGCGCAATCTGCATATGACATGGGAGAAACCGGCCCCCGTAGTCGAAGCGCCGCCCACTGGCGTCTATCCCACCTCTGACGCGCCTCTTGAGAGACTGCCAAGCGAGATCCTAGGTATGTACAGAGAATCCGCCACCCGTCCGGATCCGCCCTCCATGTTGCTAACTTGCTCTCAGGTGCTATCATCGATCTTCTCGTCGTTGAGATCCCTCCCAACGGCCTCACCACCCGCAATACCGACCTCATGTCGCTTCTGCGTACCTCGCGCGCCATCCATGCCGCTACTCTCACCACCCTCTATCGCCACATAACCATTCCTCACTCTCGCATCTTCCGCAAGTTTCTCAACACCATCACCGAATACCCCGTCCTCGCCACTATCGTCCGCCGCCTCGACTTCAGCCACTTCAACCCCTCCATCATGTTCTCTACCGCTGCCGAGCGACTGCAGGCCCAGAATCTCACCAGCGAGACTCTGTTTCAGTGTCTCGCCCTGACTCCCTACTTGCAAGAATTTCTCGCCCAAGAGTACATTGATGATGACCTCGGCCCCGATGTCCTTCGCAAGTTGTTGTTCGATATGCCCTCTCTGACCTCGATCGATTTTTGCGGCTGTTCGTCTCTTGCTTTTAAGAAATCCTTCCTGGCCATTCTCGACGACCCTTGGCCCGAGACTCTCAGCATCACCAAACTCTCCTTCCACAAGTCTCTGAGCCTACCTTCCTCTGTCTTTGAGACCATTCTCCCCAGAATGCCCCGCGTCACCCACCTCGATCTTGCCGGAACCCGAGTCACGGACAAGGCGCTTCTTTCTATTCCTGCATCTGCCCAACTTACGCACTTGAACCTTGCAAAGTGCAAGGAGCTGTCTGCCGATGTTGTCACCAAATTTATCACCTCCCACCCTGCTGCCAGAAACCTAGTTTTCTTGAGCCTGGGTGCCGATCCCAGCACTCACTTGCTGCTGGGCAAGAGTGACCTCGACGCTCTTCTGCCCAACCTGCCGCCCACCCTCAAGTCCCTGAACCTTCGAGGCAGCAGAATGGACTCTTCCCATATCGAACAGCTGACCAGGTTGTCGCAGACGCTGGAAGAGCTGGCCGTCGGTCGGGGCCTCGCGATGAGCGACATTCACCGCCTGTTCTTCCGCGACCAGCAGTGGCAGACTCACACCCTCAAGTACATTGACATTTGTGACGTCGAGACCATTATTGGTAGTGCTAGCACCCTGCTCGCCTCGGCCTCTGCTCCTCTCCACGTCGTGGAGCTCTCTGAGCGTGCGTATGAGCGCGCCGCCAAGGTTAACAAGAATCTGCAGCGCGTTGGGTGGCTGGCGCACGAATTTGGTAGCCGTTACTGGCTTAGACGCATCGATACCGATGAAGACAACTTTGACCACGGTCACCGCTCCTGGAAGATGGGCGCGAAGAGTTGGGGAATGCGCAAGATTCCTACTGTCGTCTCAGAAGTGGGAGGCATGTACGGATCTTACATGTTTGGTCGTCGACTTTGAGCGTTCACAATTTATTCGCGACTGAATTTAGCAACAAAATGCACACCACTACGACATTACGACATGACGAAAGTTGACGAAAGTTGACGAAAGTTAACATGCAAAAAACTATATCTTTACCAAGAAAAACGGCATCATCCCTCCTCACTCACGGTACTTATGTCAAACGAAAGGCGCTCTGGATTTGCTCTTTATCATTCTGGTGGCTGTATTTTTTTCCTTTTATTATTTCATTTCTGTATCTGTATGGATCGGATTCTTGCGACGAAAAAGCTGCATGGAGGAAAGCGTACCACCAAAAGGCATTTTGATTCCTTTGAAGACGGCGTCGATTATGTTTTCTTTGCCCCATCTTGGCTGCTGCATGTAAGGATACCCTTGAAATTCAAAAGCATGGTCGCTCGCGCGGGACTCTGGACAGTTTCATTTGGATGGTAGAATTCACAATTTGCTCTTTCTGGAAAAGTTTATCAGATACTCTATGTAGTACCGTCAGGTGGTAGAATACATAGGTCAATTTTAATTTACTAAACAGGCCGTTTTCCTATGTTGTTGGATAGATCAATCCGACCTTTTCCTGGTCTCGAGACAATTTCGAATCTTATCATATGCCAGCAAATAAGTATTTCAGTAACATCTACAATTCAGATAGCCCGTTCACCTGTACAAAGAGGTTCTCTAAAAACGAGAATACGCGAGCCTAAATACCAAATTAGTCGATAAAAAAAAGTAGGAAAGAAGCTCTAATGCGTATGAGAAGACGCACCATTTTCCTCGCATCGTTATGACGGCGTACTGATCGCCATTCTCCTCGACCTCCTTGTCGACCTTTGCGCTAAAGTTGATGGCGCTCATGATGCCGTCGCCAAACTTTTCGTTGAGCACCGCCTTGAAGGAGTAGCCGTAGTTCTGCACGATCTCGTACAGCCGGTAGATGAGCGGCTCCACGGGCGGCATGGGCCCCGCACGGCCGCGGTCCGGGAAGCCCATCATCTGCGCCGCCAGGGTCTCGGCGGGCACGCCGAGCAGCTCGGACAGCCGGGACACGTCCTCGGCCGAGGCCTGGGCCTGGCCGTAGAAGAGCGCGGCGCAGGCGACCTCGTCGCGCCCGAGGTGGGAGGCGATCTCGGCAAAGGTGAGCTTCTTGGCCGTCTTGGCCGCGAAGAGCACCTGGCTATATTGGGGCAGGCGCTCCACGATGGACGTCTGCAACGGTCGATGAAGGTTAGCAAGATTGGTGTTATAAACTCGCTGATGAGCAAAGTACTTGCGTCAAGACTGGCAAGTCTGTTTGGTTCAGGCATGTTGGTGGATTTCGATATGTTTCACTGGATGACGGAGAATTTATGATGTGGAGAGAGCCGTGCTTGGATGCAGCAGCTTGCAACGCTATTTCTTTGATGATGATGTTTACAACTACGAACCGTGTAAGCCCTCATCCGCGCGGGATGTATTTATACCACCTCGCCTGCGGGGGGCTAGAAGAGGGGAAGCGTTGTCGGCAAAGGCTCACGTTGCAATGCCGTTATAGATAAGTTGATAAGTGCATGGGGCAAGAAGGCCGAATTCCGCGAGACCGAGTTTGGTGCGAATGAAACGGCTCACTGCAGAAAGTAGGGCCATAAAAGCCGATCTAGGCTCAGCATTCCACTGTTAATCCTTCAATTCAGAGCATCAACAATAAGAGGATCCTGTTCGGATTGGGCGGAATAGTACAGTACATGCAACAGTGACGTGGGCGGGCTGTATGGCCGCCAATCAGGCGACGGCCCCAACCAAATGTAGAGGGGGGATCTCTAAATGGGCGCTGCGGCGAAATGAAGTCGGGAAATCGAAATCTAAGTTTGTCCGACGTCTTCGCCGCGCAAGCTAGTAAGTCTGACTGACGTTGGATACCATTGACACCAAGCAGCTGTTCCCTGGTACGTGAAGTACGGAGTACAGTGCGGCTACTGTGACGTGGATGCGTCACGTGACTCACCCGGTTTAGCGTGCTGCCTCCCTCCCATGCTAGAACTACGTAACAAGCTAGGCATCTCTCAACCGACTACAAGCTACAAAGACACCACCACCTGGACAAGAGCATCTGGCGATTGAAAAGCTCCATCGCCATGGCTCCTAAACAGGACACCCCCTTCCGCTCTGCGGACATGAGCATGGTGCAGCTCTATGTCTCCAACGAAATTGGTCGCGAGGTCGTCACTGCGCTGGGAGAGCTTGGCCTCTGCCAGTTCCGAGATGTAAGGAACCTCAGACGCCGGAGCGTCCACCCGCCGGCCAATACCGTCAACATCCCGAGATTTTCTAACCCCATCATCATCAATAGCTCAACGAAGATGTTAGCGCCTTTCAACGCACATACACCCAGGAGATTCGACGCCTCGATAACGTGGAGCGACAGCTGCGTATGTAGCCATATTCCCGCTGCCCAGAAACACGACCCTCGCCCAGTCCCAAACTTGCTAACCCGCAGCTCCGAATTCCAGGTTACTTCAACTCGCAGATGGAAAAGACTGGAATTGCCCTGCGCAAGCTCGACCTCGACACCGAGAGCCTCGCCTCGCCCTCCACGACCGAGATTGACGAGCTCGCCGAGCGCAGCGAGAAGCTCGAGCAGCGCGTGTCGGCCCTCAACGACAGCTACGAGACGCTCAAGAAGCGCGAGGGCGACCTGACCGAGTGGCGCTGGGTCCTGCGCGAGGCCGGCAGCTTCTTCGACCGCGCGCACGGCAACGTCGAGGAGATCCGCGCCTCGATGGACAACGACGACGCCCCGCTGCTCGCCGACGTGGAGCAGCACCGCGCCGCTCCCGAGGTCGAGCGCTCCTTTGGCGGCATGAACATTGGCTTCGTCGCCGGCGTCATCGCCCGCGACCGCGTCGGCGCCTTTGAGCGCATCCTCTGGCGCACCCTCCGCGGCAACCTGTACATGAACCAGTCCGAGATCCCGGAGCCGCTCGTCAACCCGGCCAACAACGAGGCCGTCGACAAGAACGTGTTTGTCATCTTTGCGCACGGAAAGGAGATTCTTGCCAAGATCCGCAAGATCTCCGAGTCTATGGGAGCAGAGGTGTACAGCGTCGACGAGAACAGCGATCTGCGCCGCGACCAGATCCACGAGGTTAACAGCAGGCTCCAGGACGTGCAGAATGTGCTCCAGAACACGCAGGCTACTCTCCAGGCCGAGCTCAACCAAATCTCCCAGTCGCTGTCGGCTTGGATGGTGCTTATTGCCAAGGAAAAGGCCGTCTATGGCACACTCAACCTCTTCTCTTACGACAGAGCCCGTCGTACTCTGATTGCCGAGGGGTGGTGCCCGACCAACGACCTGCCTCTCATCAGATCGACTCTGCAAGACGTCACCAACCGTGCCGGTCTTTCGGTCCCCTCCATCATCAACGAGATTCGCACGAACAAGAAGCCACCCACGTACCTCAAAACCAACAAGTTCACCGATGGCTTCCAGACCATTGTCAATGCCTATGGTACCGCCACTTACCAGGAAGTCAACCCTGCTATGCCGGTTATTGTCACATTCCCCTTCCTCTTTGCCGTCATGTTTGGTGATTTTGGCCATGCCGTCATCATGCTGTCCGCTGCGCTGGCCATGATTTACTGGGAGCGCTCGCTCAAGAAGGTCACCTTTGAGCTGTTCGCCATGGTCTTCTACGGACGCTACATCGCCTTGGTCATGGCTGTGTTCTCTCTGTTCACCGGTCTTATTTACAATGATGCCTTCTCCAAGTCCATGACGCTGTTCCCCAGCGCTTGGGAGTTTAAGGTGCCTGAGACTGGTTTCAAAGAAGGCGAGACCATTGAAGGCACGCTCAGCGAGCACGGATACCGTTATCCGTTTGGCCTTGACTCTGCCTGGCACGGTACCGATAACGATCTCCTCTTCAGCAACAGTTACAAGATGAAGATGAGTATCCTGCTGGGTTGGGCCCACATGACATACTCCCTCATCTTCTCCTATATCAATGCCAGGCACTTCCGCAAACCCATCGATATCTGGGGCAACTTTATTCCTGGCATGATCTTCTTCCAGTCCATCTTCGGCTACCTTGTCGTCTGCATCATTTACAAGTGGACCGTGGACTGGAACGCCATCGGGAAGCCTGCTCCTGGTCTGCTCAACATGCTGATTTATATGTTCCTGCAACCGGGTACCCTTCCCAACGGAGAGCGTCTGTATGCCGGACAAGAATACGTGCAGGTTGGCCTACTCCTTCTGGCATTTGCCCAGGTGCCCGTGCTGCTCTTCCTCAAGCCGTTCTACCTCCGCTGGGAGAACAACCGGGCTCGCGCCAAGGGCTACCGTGGCATTGGCGAGACATCCCGCGTCAGCGCCCTGGATGACGACGAGGAGGGTCAAGGTTTGATTCATGGAGGCGGTCACGGCAATAGCATTGACGATGGCGACGGCGTGGCAATGATTTCGCAAAACGTCGACGATGAGCACGAGGAGTTCGAATTTGGCGAGGTCATGATTCACCAAGTCATTCACACTATTGGTCAGTAATACAATGAACACTGGAAGCACCTGGACAATTTGCTAATATTTCATTTAGAATTCTGCCTGAACTGCGTCTCCCACACTGCTTCCTATCTGCGTCTATGGGCCCTCTCCCTGGCCCATCAGCAGCTCAGCGTCGTCCTGTGGACGATGACGATTGGTCTCTGCCTTCCCATGACCGGCGTTGTGGGCGTCATTGCCATTGTTGTCGGCTTCTACATGTGGTTCTTCCTAAGTACGCCCCAGCCCCCCTCCTCTCTATAGCCATTGCTATTCTAGTATGCATGGAAGGCACCAGCGCTATGCTACACTCGCTGCGTCTGGCCTGGGTTGAGTCCTTTTCCAAATTTGCCGAGTTTGCGGGGTGGCCTTTTGTGCCGTTTTCGTTTGCAACGCTCCTGGAAGAGTCGGAAGAGCTCAAGGAGTATCTGGGTTAGACATGCCCCGACCTCCTCCACTGTAGTCTAGTTTGTTTTGTTTTTGCTCTTATTTTCTCATATTATCAAAGTGCATTATTGAGAGACGGTTGTGCTGTCGAGCCTGCTGCATTCGCTAGAGCTATGTAAATTCTGCGAACCTGGACGTTTTGCTGTAATAACAACTCATCATTACATACATACACCTACATACCTATCTACCGGCGGCCCCTCGAAATCCAGACCATGCGAAGATACGGAGGAAGGGACAGAAAACTCATGATTGTATTATCGTTGGTATATTTAATGCCACATTTCTATCCATGGGAGAAGCTGATCCCGTCTCCCATACACTCAATAAATATTGTTACATGTTCTCATCTTTCAAGCGGGCCGTTGGCTGCTTTGCCGACCTCTTTTCTTCCGCCTTTTCCCGTTCATCCCCACAGCGGCGCCGTCACCTCCACGGCGCGCTCGACGACGGCGCGCACGCGGTCCGCAAAAACCGGCTTGCTGCTCTCAACCTCAAGGTCCTCAAGCCAAACCGTCGCCGTCATGCTGTCCACCCTGACAGAAACGCCCGGCACGGGGATGCCGAGCTTGTGCAGACGCTCCAGCTCCTTCCGCTGGCGCTGCCCCAGGGCCGCCTCCTCGTCTGCGCCGCCCTGCTCGAGGTCCATGGCATCATCGCCGGTGGCGTCACCGTTAGCGTTGGCTTTGACATCGTCGTCCGGCGGCGGTGACGGAAGTGCAGGCACTGCGGGAAGCCGGGGCGTCTCGACGGGGGTGACGTTGTCGGCGCCGAACTGGGCCTCGAGGAACCAGAACAGCCGCTCGAGGCGGTCCTGCGACGAGACTCGCGCGTGCGGGTTAATGCCATCCGGCGGAGAGCCCGCTTCTGAGTTCGCGGAAGGGGAGTGGGCGTGGTGGTGGCCGCACTTACCCGAGGATTTCTTGACGGCTGCCGGGGAGCTCTCGACGGAGAGAAGTACGGCCATGACCGAGTCGGCGATGCCGTCGTTGAGCATGTTGCCATCCCACTCGAGCTCCACCTCGCCGTTGGTGCGGTAGCGCACGGTGACGCAGCCCATGACGAGGTACGCCGCTACGAGGCCGGGGACCTCCTCGTCGGCCTCCTCTTGCTCTTCTTCCTGCGCCGCTTCCGGGTTGTACTCGTCATCCTCGTCATCTGCGGCGCCTTCGGTGTCTTTCTTGTCCATGGCCTTGCTAGCGGGGACGTGCAAGTGCCGCATCTCGGGCAGTTCCTCGACAGCGCCAAAGGTGCCCTCGAGCGCCCACTTGATAAGGTCGATGCCGGCGGCGCTTAGCGTCAGTCGTTGCCTACAGGTAATCGTGGTGGTGTTGAGGCCGGCGTATTCGCGGAGGTCTTCGGGCGCCATGAGGGAAAGCTTGAAGTCGTTTTGGACCAGGACGCCCGAGACGAGCGGGCCGCCAACGGCGCTGCCATCGGCGTCGGGTCCAATAGGCCGTGGGGGCGGGATGGAGGCGAGCTTGCCCACGACCTTGGCAATCTTGTCGGCTTTAAATGGGATGCGTAGCTCTTCGGTGTTGCGAGGTGAGTAAACTTTCACCTTGACTGTCTTGTTGGCATTGAGTGACAGCAGCTTTGACTTCAGACGCATCATATTAGTCTGCTCACCATGCACCAAGATCTACTAACGGTTAGCAGTTGCGTCAACGGGGAACAACAGCACTTAAAGAAACATACCACTACTGGCGCGGCGACTTCTTCAATGAACTCGCGGTTCTCGACACCATCGACGTGCGCAGCAAAAGAATATTCTTGCACGCTACATCGCAGCGGGATCATGACTTTCTCGCCATCTCCCCCCGGTGCTCTTCTCGCGCCCGCAATGCTTCGCGACATGACGGCCTGAATTTGCTCTGGTTCTTTCATAATCTGGCGTGCCATGGTGCCTTCCACGCTGTAACCCGTGATGATGACACCGTTCTTGTCGCTTGGCGCCCAGCGCTCAAACAACTCGCGGCTGACGCCGTTTTGCAGCATACCCGGACTCGCAAGCATGACACAGCCCCCGACATCATCAAAGCGATCCAGGTTCTTCAACGAGCGAATATATTTAAAGTCCCAAGGACCCCCAGCCCCAGCAACCTGTCCTGATGATTCGGCTTCGGCCATGCGTTCTCTGAAGAGTCGCTTGATGTTATCGTTCATAGCACCAACGTAGGTCTGATAAATCAGCATACATTTCTTTGCCAGATTACTGGCATAATATATTGGGTATTTTTGAAACTCGGCATGCTTTCCCCAGTATTCGTCCAGGATTAGAAGAAGTTCTTGGGCTCTTCCTAGCGCGAAGACTGGCAGGAGTGCTCGGCCGCCTCTGTTTAGAATGTTTGTGATGGACTTCATGAGGGCTTGTTCGCGTTCCAGACGAGGCACATGCGACGCAATGCCATATGTAGATTCTGTAATCAGGACATCAATTTTAACGCCCTTGGGGACTTCGGCCGAGACCAAATGTCGGTCCTGCTCTCGAGAATAATCGCCCGTGAAAAAGATGTTGAGCCCGGCAATTTCGATCAGGAACATGGCAGCACCAAGCACATGGCCCGCGGGGTATGGTGTAATTCGAATAGAGGATATCGTGTGCGTCGTATGGTAATCGATAGCTTCGATTTGTGGAAATGTATTTAAATGATCCTGCTCGGTGTAAAGAGGCTGCGTCGTCTGATTCGCCGACGTGTTGCCTACGCGAACACTATCTTGGATGAGCCACTTGTAAATGGCCTTTGTCGGATGCGTCATGAACACGCGTCCTCGGAAATTCGTCTTTGCTAAAACATAAGGTAAAGAGGCAGCGTGGTCGATATGGAAACTGGGCCATGTTAGCAACATTGGCGCAAACACAATCTCTAAAGGCAGTGGTATGGAGTGAAGTGATCCTCACTGGCTGATAAGTAGCACGTCGACCGTGCTTAGGTCGAAATCATCGTAGAAGGGAAGTGCGGCAAGGCCATCGTACGCAGGATGCTGGCCGGCGTCAAGCTACGAGTTGTTAGGTTTGTTGATAATGGGGGCCGAATTCTTGCTCACCATGACGGTTTTGCCCTTGTACTGGATAATATGGCATGATCTCCCAACTTCGTTTCCACCACCCAAACACAAAAAGACCAGCTCGTCGGATGGGTCGACTGGCTCCTCTGAAGCAGCCGCGTTCATAGCAGATGCCTTGCGTTTCGACGCCATGGCTGCGCCTGTCCTTGACACGGCAATTCCCCCGCGAAAATATCACGCAATGCCAGGTATGGCCGTAAAAATCCGATTTAATTGCGCCAGTGTATAGGGATGCGCAACTCGCAAAAAAATCATGATATCGAAGAACGCGATGCAAGCTCAAGCTCGTCGCGCGGGTAATGGTCGGCGAACAGCAGTAGAGTACTGTAGCTCACGTGACTTTAAATTTCCATCCGCTCCAACTCAAGCTACACAGACCTTCCGACTTACTTGTCACGCCTCCTAGCCGACGACCTTTGCGAATCGCATTACAACACACTCGAGTTTCCATCTTGATGCGCGCCATCTAGCAAACGGTATCGGACAGCAGTTACCAATACGAACGAGATTCAGACAGTTCAAGGAATCGCGACATCCTTCGCACAGACGGCGCGTCGAATGGGACGAGCAGCATCCGACGTGACGGGCTTTATAGCCTGCTGAATGCATCATCGCACCGGCTTCAGCAGCCGTATTTCTTCATCGCGCACGCTCTACCAGCTTCAGCAGGGCTTCGCGCCTGAGCCGTATCGTCATGGCTCAACCTCAGTCGCAGGTACCGCCGCGGGCCTATTCGCCGCCGCAGCCCACTCCGTCACCCGCGGGCTCTCAGTCAGCCTACGCGCTCCCACCTAATAAGAGAGCTGGAGGCGCGTCGCAACCGGGCTCGCCATATCCTGTTTCTCCTTACGCCGCAAGCCCAGGTGCAGCAGGTAGCCCCCCAGTTACTGCGGGCTCCCCTGTGTATGCGCAAACACCTCCAGTGCAGGGCGGTTACAACACACCTTATGCAAACGGCCAAGCGACGCCTGTTGTTTATAACGTTGCCGAAGCTCGAGCAGCGGCCGCCGCCGCTGCTGCTGCTGCTGCTGCAAACGCGACCATTTCTCCGATGCAACAACATCAACAAATCCCCGGCATGTCAACATACACGAATGCAACACTCGCGCCTACTCTACGCCAAGGGCAGCAACAGATGCAACAGAACGTCATGGGTCCGCCTCAACGCCCTGCGGAGCGGCCGACAAAGGACTATGAATACGACGTTACCGATTCGTTGGCGGGGACCGGTATTGATTTGCGCGCCGAGGAACAGTACATGTCTGAACTTTACTCTAGTGCGATGGAGAGAAGTCAAGATGCGCGCACGGGATTTGCTGTGCATCCGCCGTCTGGTGCCAGTTCGTTTTACGGTGCAGGCCCTGCAAATCAGCCCGCCGAAACGATCAAGGATCAATCTCAGAAAGAATATGAGGCTCAAGCTGCGGAGCGGGCATGGAAAGAGTCTGCTATGAGATTAGCAGCCCAAAGAACGCAGGAGATTGCGAATCCTTTTCTCCTTGTGGCTATTATGCATCGGCGAGCGGAAAAGATTGCGCAAGAGCATCACCTCAACCTCAACCTCGAGCTTCGCAACAATGCGTATACGACGGGAAAATTGCGCTATCCCGAGCAATTTCCAACGCCATCCGTGAACGTCAAGACTCAGCCCGGGCCGGACTCGACAACGGTTAGCACCACGGGATCATTCATACCCCACGACGCCTACTTGGTTGACCAGCTTGCGCTGCTATCAATAAGCACAAAGCAACGACTACGAGAACTCATCGAGGACGCCAACACGATTGCCCTTAACCGACAAAAGACGTCACATGGCGATGTACCAGAAGAGTGGGCGCCGGCCGCAGCGCCTATGAACAAGGAGGTGCTCGAGGTTGTGGATGCGCCCAACCAAGCGGGCATCTCCGAGGCTGACGACGGTTCTCGGAAACGTAAGGACAACCATCACCATGTTCAAAATGCTCAGCTAACCCTTTATAGGTCCTGCGGATCAAACGAATGGCGATTTGAACACGAAACCTGCGAAATTACCGAAAGTCTCTTCATTCATGACAATCACGATGCGTGAGCTGGCTAGACAAGAGCGCGACTGGGAAGAAGCCCGTTTGCGGAGAAGGCAAAAGCGAAAAGACGGCACAATCGACACGGCCGGGACTAGTTCACGGGCAGGCAGCGTGGCTCCAGGAACACCGGGAACTGTTGCGCCAGAGTCCGACAAGGCGATGACGAAGAAGGAGCAAAAGAAGAACCAGGCACTGAAGGCTGCCGAGGCCAACAGCCACGCGAACCAAAACATGACGAGTAGCATGTTCGCGGGTTTGGGAGGCAAGAGCGGCTTGTTTGGCAAGAGCAAACGCAAGACGTACGATTGGATGAATGTTGGCCGAGGGGGCAGCGGCGTAAACACGCCTTCAAAGGGCACAGGCGACGGCGGGAAGACAATAAATGGCGTGGTGCAGGCAGGGCCCAACAATATGGCACTGACGACGGAAGGCAGAAACCGTCTCGGTACGTGGCGTGAGGACAAGGAGAAGGGGAGGAATATCCAGCTGCGCGACTGGATCACAGTTCTAGAGCGGGATGGACGAGAGGTGCAGTCGCTCCAGCACGCGTATATGCATTTGGATTCATCGAACCCCAGATAATACGCCCTTTATGGGGATACAGCCCAGGATGAGCGTGGCATCGCGGTGCCTCTCGACCGTCTCATTCCTTTTTTTTTCTATCGGTGTATTCTATTTAGCCCGGCGTTTTTAATCTTTTTTGTTTTTCAAGGGTATCTGGGGAGCGGGATTTTTTTATCTGCCACCGGAGCGCCTTCCAAGCCTGGAAGAGAACAGAGGGAGAGAGCAGTTTATTGGTAGGTAGCTATTAGGGTTGAATGGCTGAGCCTGATGCATTGGAGTAACGGATGGATGGGTCACAAGAGAAAATGGAGAATAGCTCTTGCGCAAATGAAATACATAATCAAAAGACTCTGATCACCAAGTATCGTGATGAAGCCGGTAGCATGTATGTAATTGGGTCATGAGGATCTTGCGTCAACGCAAAAGTGGACCAAGGTCTCGCAACCTGCCATTTACATATACAGCCAGTCCCTCGTTGATCAGGAATGGCGATAGCAGTATGGCCGTTCCCCCTCCCTAAGCATCTAGTACGCATAATAACGATGACTTGCCCTTAGGCAGTTGGGCAGATATGCTCCACGGCGTCCCCCAAGGGAAACCTGGAGCAATGTGTGAAGCTTGTGGCCAAGGCTGCCGCCGGCGGCGCCAAAGTAAGTGGTTGCCGTGGTGGTTCGATGCCAACGCAGTCTTGTCACTAACCCATGAACCTTTTCTTTCGCTCAAAGGTCCTCTTCCTCCCTGAAGCATCGGATTACATTGCCCCGGACGCAAAGACGTCTCTGGAGCTAGCCCGGCCGCAGACGACCTCGCCGTTCGTCCTGGGCCTGCGCGCCGCCGCCAAGGCCCACGCCGTCGGCATCCACGTCGGCATCCACCACATGCCGCCGCCGACCGCCGAAGACGCGGGCGGCGGGCGGCGGATGGTCAACCGGGCGCTGTACATCGCGCCCGACGGCGAGGTCGACGACGCCGCGACCTACGACAAGATGCACGTCTTCGACTACGGCGAGCTACGGGAAAGCGCCACCGTGCGTCCCGGCTCCCGGCTCACGCCGCCGTTCGACACGCCCGTCGGCCGCGTCGGCAGCCTGATCTGCTTCGACCTGCGGTTCGCGGAGACGGCGACGGCGCTGGCGCGGCCAGGCGCGCGGAGCGGGTGGCGCGCGCACCCGGCGCAGGTGCTGACGTACCCAAGCGCGTTCACGCTGCGCACGGGGACGGCGCACTGGGAGCCGCTGCTGCGCGCGCGCGCGATCGAGACGCAGAGCTGGGTCGTGGCGGCGGCGCAGGTCGGACGGCACAACGAGCGAAGGGCGAGCTACGGGAGGAGCATGGTCGTGGATCCCTGGGGCCGCGTGGTGCTGGCGCTGGGCGGCGTCGCGGACGAGCAGGGCACGGCGGCGGACGGCGCGGAGGGGGAGATTGGGTTCGTGGAGGTTGATCTAGAGGAGCTGGAGCGGGTGAGGCGCGAGATGCCGCTTCAGCGGCGGTGTGAGCTGCTCCTCTGAAAGGTCCGGCTCCTTGCTCCCAGTCTGCTTGTTTCGCACAGTTTATATTGGCCATAGAACGAACGGTAACGGTCACCGAGTACTTTCTTCGTCATTTTTTTTTTTTCAACTCTGTAAACTACCAATTGAGACCCGCCAAACGCCAGATTTTTCCCACGCGCATATACAAATAAATGCCTTGTCATCCGGGTATATGTTTATGTATGCCCCGACACCAGCCTCACTCTACAAGCCTGGCCAAGGCTTCTGCCCAATCACATTACCATCACATTCCCAAACGCATCAGATATTTCTTGCCTTGTAGGAGGTTCGGGAAGCTCCGGGCCTGCAGAAACACCCATGCTCAAATGATCTTGCATGAGCTTGAGCAGCACAGCAGGCACGGAATCATCAGTTGCGCGGATGGTTAGTCGAATCATCTGCGAGTAAATGTTAGCACAAAAAGGGAATGAGTAAGAGAAAAAAGACGTACTTGGCTTCCGTAGTTTGGCTCCAGTCGCATAAGGCAGCCAAACTTGCCACCCTGTGTCGTATGGAGCACACTGGCACCGACAATATTCTTGGGGTTGGGATCAACCATATCCAGCAAACGCCATCGGAAGCCTTCTACAGATCTCTTGACAAATGTCTCTGTAATCTCCCTGTTTTTGGCCTTTGCATGGACACCGAAGATCGCTTGCGCTTCTCTTGGCCCGGCGCTGATTTGCTTCCATCGCTTGAAAAAGTCCTCTGCCGATAGCTCCGCGGGGTCCATAAACTTGTGCATGGCAATCGGAAGCTTGAGCGTGACGGCCTGCAGAGATCCAGCCAGATAGCTGACTCGGATTGTCGGACTTTTGGCGAATGTCTTTTGTGCCTCAAACATGATAACTTGTTGCGACTGGCCGCCAGCAACCAGGCTGTTATCCGGTAAGTCTTTCACATCCCAAGTCAAATTGGTCTTTTCGCTGGGGTCCAAGTCCAGGGTCGTCGTGAATGAAGCGATGTCGCCAGGGTTTTTGTTCTTGAAGTAGGCGATGATACAAGCCATTTGGCCGCGGTATTCCGACCGGATGCCTATTTGCAGCTGGCCATCTTCGTATAACACACCTTCTGGTCGAAGCAGGAGCCGATTGTACCCCTTCTCCCAGCCAGGCGACAAATGCGCGGCACTAGCAAGATTCGGTGCCTTGGCCGGTTCCGTCGGACCGCTCATATCCAATCCCGCCAAATCATTCGTTCCGTTCGATTGTCCCGCTTTGCTTCCATTGAGGGCATTGCCAGAGCTAAAGGAGCGCTTAAGACCAGGCTTGGCCATGCTCAATTCCGATTGGTCCGCGTTGGCATCCTTGCCGCCGACAACCCAGGTGCGTCTGTCGCTGGTATTGGCGTGCTTTTGGTGTAGTCGAGACAACAGAGCTGACTCTCTCTCGGGGAACGGGGGCATCTCGTCGCAAACTGTTCTCAGCAAGTCATCGGTAGGGAGTGTCGCAAGGGTAAGATATTCGCAAGCTCTTTGCTGCATTTCCGAATCCAAGGTATGGCTGTGGATCTGGAAAACGTGAACGAGTTGGGGCTTAATTTCGGGAAACAGGTTGACGAATTTGATGAAGCACGAGAGAATCATGGCACGCGTGCTGGGTGACGACGAGGCCAGCTTGTTTTGCAAAGCCATAAACTGCTCGATGGGGCTGCATCGCGGTTGGTCTGCGACCAGGTGGCCGAATTCACCCAGGATGTATGCTCCGATCTTGACTAGTGTCTCATGGCAATGGTCCGACTTGATGTGCTGCAGTGCATTTTGAGCGGCATATATTTGAAGTTCTTCGTTGTTGGTTACGATTTGCGTGACGCGCTGCCAGACTTCGTCGCTAACATGATCACCAGCCATGGCAATCAGTCTGAGGGAGATGTCGACGTACCATTGGACATCGGTGGCGTACTTTTCCGTCAAAATGGCAATCTTCAACACCATTTCTTCACGAATAGCGTAGTCGGCATTTTGAAGGTGGTGCAACAGCTCGCCGACAATAATTCTAGCATTCGTAGAATCGCACATGCTGTAGAGCAGATCCAATCCCTTGCGCCGAACACTAATGTCACGGTCCTTCAGTGATCCAAGAATAATGCTCTGGTGCTGCTTGATGGGGGAAAGAGTTCGCGTGCGTGCCGCCAAATGCGTCATGGCTTCGAGGCCGAGGTAACGAACATTGGTTTCGCGGCTTTGGATGAAGCGGCCTAGACGAGTCGAGATTTGATCCATGAGTTCGTGCTCAGTGTCGAGATGAATGATGAGGTTGATTGCTTCAAAGAGAACGGCATTCTGCGCATTATTCTGCTGCACGTTTTTGCTGCCCTCCGTGGCTAAGCTTAGAATCTTTTGCAAGGCTTCTCGCAGCATGTTGCGGACGTGGGTATCATCTAGAATTGGTTAGCTATGATGCCAAGTAGCAGTCGTATTGGGCAAACAAACCTGAAGGCGCAAAATACTGAAGAAGCTTCAGAAGCTTTACTTGGAGCCACGGGCAGGGAACCTTGTAGTATAAGTAATCGGCCGTATACTCGGCATCGATGACAATGCGCTTAAGTCGAGCAGCGGCTTTGGCGTAGGCGCCTTTATACAGATCCAAGCTGTCCTGCGCGACAGTCATCACCAATGAGGTGACAGAAAGCGCAACGCCGAGATCAGGATCGTCCATCAAGTGAACCAGACGATCAGCCCATTGCGGGCTAACGATTTCGGGGCTCTTTCGGTACAGTCGCAATAAAGTGAGGGCCGCCTTCTTCTTCACAAAAGACTTTGACGTACTGTATCGAGACATTAATAAGTGTTCAGCTTGCGCGCATCCAGTCAATAGCACTCACGGAGCAATCAAAAGTCGATGGACATCGCTGCTGAGAGATTCGCCCATTTCGCGGCCTCCAACATTGGCAATGGCATGCAGAGCCAAACAGTTGAAAAGCTCGTTGTGGTCCAGGAGATCCTTGCGAATGCTGTTGACGACAAGATGGAGAAGCTCATGCTTCTCATGGAGGAAGAGCGTCACGGCCAGGTAGCCAATTTGCTTCTCCGAGTACTTGCCCGCGGAGATGAGGTTGACGGCTTCGAGATGGCCAAAGTCAACGTCCCAGCCTAGGATATAAATGTACAGGAGCTTGCAGACGTATTTCTTCTTGTGGTAGCCGCTGAGATTCCCATCCTTGAACTTTTGGCGGATGTTGGCGAGCTCCTTGTTGATGCGCTTCTCCTCAAGCTCGCGGGCGCGGGCATTTCTCAGGTCAGCGATGAACTGGACCAGGCCGCGCATGTTGGCGGTGCTGCTGCTCGAGCGACCAAGGAAGCCACCCCCAGAGGACGACATGATGGGCGTTTTGATTTATCCGGCGGTCGGTAATATGCGCAATGCCGAGGTTGTCGTCTCGTGTGTGTGTGTGTGTGTGTGTGTTCGTCCCCCTTTCCGAGATTCAGCGACTGAAGCAAAGGGCCGCCGCAGCAAAAGTCGGAAGGCCTGCTTCGTATTCGTGCACTAGTCGTATGTTCGTTTTAGGTCGTCGGAGAAGCCGCATAATCAGGCACCGAAGAATGACATGGGAGGCGCAACGGCGAGCTTTAGAGGAGGGCCGTTGGAGATGTCCGCGTGCCCAGCGCTCGTTTAAGGAGGGGCGAGACGGGGGACAGCCAGATGGCGGACAAGCGGTGCCGACAGGAGAGGAGGGAGTGCTTCGGCCAGGGGAAAAGCGTCCTGCAGGAGAAGAATGCGATATTTGGATCAGCGCCCGACGGAATCCACGGCGAGCTGCGTGCGAAGGAGGTCAGGGCCACCGAGCTGCGTAATGATTGCGGTTTGAGGGGAGACGTTGAAGAAGTGGGCGCTGGCAGCTGGTCTTTGGTCTTGGGCCATCCCATCCCTGGATGACGGCGGCGGCGGCGCTACTGTCGACCGACCCTGGCTGGCTGAAGGAGGTACTGTACATACAGTATCAGTACATACAGTACATTCATTTAGTAGAGGTACAGGCACCCCACTGTAGGTATGTACCTGACGACAGCGGGTCATCACTTTTCTCCAGACCTTCAACATCAACACAGCTTTTCTGCACATCCGTCCATTCATGCACATATCGCTGGCTTTTTCCTAATCACAGTGTAATGTCATGTCGACATGCAGGCAAAACTTGAATAGCGTGGCGAGAGCGCTCCCCCGGTCCTCTCTGCACCGCTGCGCACCACAACTCAGCCATCGTCGAGCCTACGCTGTGCCTTCATCCGCCGCCCCGCGCTTCCAAGTCTTCAACCGCCGGACGAAATGGCTTCAGAAGGAGCGCGCCGGAGCCAATGCTGAGCAGGGCAGGGAGGCTGACTACCTCAAGGACGAGGTTGCTATGCGCGTGGCGGAAAGACTACTGGTAACTCGTTCAATTTGGAGCTGCTCCCTGCTTCGACTTGTTTTGCTGACCACGTGGGCTATGTTTCTTCAACCAGGACATCAATCGACACTTCCCCAAGGTGCTCGACCTCGGCGCCAACAGCTGCAACATTGCCCGCGCCCTCACGGCCGAAACCCCGGACCCCAACCCCGCCAAGCCCGAGTCCGCGCCGCTGTCCGCGCGCATCGGCGAGCTCACCGCCGTCGACTCCTCCGAGACGCTGCTGTACCGCGACGCCGACCTCGCCTTCAACCGGGAGCTCTCCATCACGCGCCGCGTGCTCGACGACGACGAGGAGTCGCCGCTGCCCTTCGCCCCGGCCTCGTTCGACCTCGTCCTCAGCTCGCTCTCCCTGCACTGGGTCAACGACCTGCCCGGCGTGCTCGCGCAGGTCAACAGCCTGCTGCGGCCGGACGCGCCCTTCATCGGCGCCATGCTCGGCGGCGACAGCCTCTTCGAGCTGCGCACCTCGCTGCAGCTGGCCGACCTGGAGCGCCGCGGCGGCATCGCGCCGCACGTCTCCCCGCTGGCCGACGTGCGCGATGTTGGCGGCCTGCTGCAGCGCGCGGGGTTCAAGATGCTGACCGTCGACGTGGACGACATCGTCGTTGACTACCCGGACACCTTTGCGCTCATGCAGGACCTGCAGGCCATGGGCGAGGGCAACGCCATCCTCGGCAGGGAGATGGGGCCGATCGGCCGCGACGTCCTGCTGGCCAACGACGCCATCTACCGCGAGCTGCACGGCAACGAGGACGGCTCGATCCCGGCCACGTTTAGGATCATTTACATGATTGGCTGGCGAGAAGGCGAGAACCAGCCTCAGCCTCTGGCCAGAGGGTCCGGACAGGCGAGCTTGAAGGATCTCCTGGAGCAGAAATAGACTCGCGAGCCTCCAACATGTGTATTCATAAGTGTAATTAAAACAGAGTCGTGCATTAGAACAAGGCGGTAAACGTTTTCAAGGGATGAATGAAAGTCAGTTTATATTTTTCATAATTATTCCATGTATGCGTCGTCGTCATCCGCACAATTGCCGTCTACTCCGATCCTACATTCCCGTTATACTCGTCGCCAGTCGGTCATCGTTCTGCCGATGCATCCCAGTCCGGCAACCTCGACTAGCTTCTCGTGCCAGCTCAGCATGACGCTCATGCCAGCCGACGCCGGTTCGTTGGACGCGCCTGGCCGTGCGCCGACCTGGCTGAAGCCGCCGGTGGGCTGAGGGGTGACCTTGGTTCCGCGTCCGCCGTGCGATCCGGCCATTCCCTTGTAGCTGCGATGTGATTTTGCCATTAGTCAAGCGCGCGGGAAGATCTCTCGTTTTTTTAGGTCAACCGTACATGTACTTCATCAGGACATCGAGGCTTTCGCTGCCGCCGGGGGACTCGTAGATGCGCTTCAGCAGTGGCGTCATGTCGCTGGCCTTGATGGACTGTAGCACTTCCGTGATTGTTTGGAGGTGGGCGTCCTGTGGGGAGGGAAGTTAGCCAAATCTATTTACTTGCTCGCATCTTGCGGTGTTGTGTGGATGTCGGTGCTCCAGGAAGCATGTTCCAGATCCAGCCCAACCAGACGTTTTTTGTTTTTTTTTTTCGCGCAATCCCATCTTCTGTCCGTCTTACCTTGGCTGCGTCACTTCCGTTATATACCGGCGTCTCCAGGCACCCGCGGAGAGCGCCTTCGGCATCGCCGCCGCGCAGCAGCTGACGGACCTGGCCCGACAACGCGCGCACGTCGGCCTCGGTGATCTCGGGCTGCGGCGGGTGCAGGGTCGAGGTGTCGAAGTTGACGCTCGAGTCCTCGGTCAGGGCATCGATATTGATTGTGCGCCAGGCATCGCTGAGCGACGCGCTCGTGTGCTGTTGGATGATGGACATGGCGGTGGGAGCGGGAGCTTGGGGGGGCCGTTGACGAGCGGGAACAGAAGACAATCGGCGTCGGGGGAGGTGTAGGTTCGGCCGTGTGTATGTATTTCAGCTATTTGTATGGCTAGTTTGACTGGAGCAGAAGCTAGGTTGCGGTGCAGCTGGTGTCGAGGGGTTAACGGTGATGAGGATGGCAGTGGAAGCTGTGGTGAAGCTTGGCCCGGCTGCGTCACCAATTCGGCGGGGTCCTTGTGGCTGAGTGGCTGGTGCAGGTTGGGCGGGGCTGACAAAAGATCACGAAATGCAGGTAGACTGACTGACTTACATGCAGTTCGCAAGTATAGCGTTTTATCTACAGTTATGTCCTCCTTGCTTGTATTTCTTTGTCTTCTACCTCTGTATGTTGAACGGCCCCTCGCGACTTTCCCCGTCCGTAAATTCGCCGTCGTATCAGCCAAGATCAGTCAACCATCTAGCTATCCAAAGGATTGTACATAAATCACAGGTTGCTCAACAGCACCGCACCAGCACATGTGTCCTGAATATAGCGGTGATGATTTATATGTACCGTGCAAAATCGAGTTCATAGGTTGACTACCTGTCTGGACTGGCCCTCTTGAACGCTTACGAGGCCTCCGAGAGTAAGGAGACCGGTTGCATCGAAGCCTACCCGGGAGCCAACACGCTTAGTGGACCAACAGGACAGGGAAGCACGATTCACATCATTGACGGTAATTTGAGCCGCATTGACGTGCAAATCATCGTGAGATGGACAGGAGAACACAGCCCGACTGCCACAGACTGTCCTGTAGCCACTGCCTGTCTGAGCTTGGTGATGATATGCGACACGGGTGTTGCAGATGAACGAGGCATCACGCGATGGACCAATGATGAACGAGCCAAGACCATTTGCCACGCAAAGGTAATCGCAAATTCTATTTACGAGCCTAGCCCTGTAGCCATCTTGCTCGAGACTGCGAAGGTATAAGAAAAAAAAGGGAAACAGTCCGCTGACTCGTCTAGTCAGGGCAACCAAGAAGGAGCGGCCCACCGTTAACACTCCCAAGCCGTGTCAGGATCAAGCCCTTCCGTCGAGTAGCGCATTACCGTTATGAATGGCATCTCCCGATATAAGTCATGACCGCTGATTGCGGCCACTGACCGTCACCGTGTATCCGCACCGAGCAACGGCCCGGGCAGACCGTGAAAGTCCCCGAAAATGAGAACCCCACTGCCTAGGATGGCCGTTGATGGCATTTCAGTGTCGCCTGATGTTGGGTTGAAGTTTTTTTTTTTTCGCTTTCAATGGAGGCGCAGGCCGCAGCCCTGATAGCAGAATAGGTATCCGTAACCAATAGCCGATAGAGCCAACGGCCAAGTTCAGGACACCTGTTTGTTGCTCATGACTGTGCCTCGCCGCGGGTGGCTGACAGATAACTACGTAGGATGGCTGGCACTTTTGCTTGGTTTCAAGTAACCTTCCATATTCAGTTGGTTTGCGACGCGCATGTTTCCTGGACCTTTTTGCTCATGGTGCAACATCCGATGATTTTGAGCGCCTCGGTCTAACCTAATTAAAACAAAATAAAGTGTAATTCCCAACCCAAGTTCCTTGGTTGGTTGGTCCTGCAACTTGAAGATCCTTGCTGCAAGATGGGCAGCGGCCCCTTCAAGTCCCAAGCCCGCGGCGCGGTGGCGCTGGTGGGACAAGAAGGAAGAAGAGGAGGAAAAGACCCTTTGCAGGCTAGCATGGAAGGTCTCCCCTTTTTCCAGAAGAAAAAGAAAAGCCCAGTAAAAAGAATTAAAAAATCCCAGCCCTTTTCTTTTTTCATGCACCCCGGCTTTTTGGTTCTGGTACCTTGCAGCAGTTCCACAAAAGGGTGTTCGCAGCGGTTTCCGTTTCCGTAACAGGGGCAGGGCGAGAAAAAAAAAAGAAAAAGAGAGAAAAGAAAGACGCCCCTGCACTCCGTGCTGGAAGAAAATTTTTTCTTCCCTCTTAAATTGCGGCGGCCTGGGGTGAGGGAGGGGCCGGGTACTCTTCCGCGGGACTGGGAACGCTGCTCCTCGTGTGGTCGCATTGGGGGGTTTGTGTGATGTGTTTCTGCACGCCCTCTTTTCGTGTACTGGTTAATAAGACAAATTCGGCGACTGTCTTGGGGCTCTTTCTCGTCAGAAGAAAATCTGCTGGGTCGGTAATAAGGTAAGGTGGTACTCGAAAACCTTTCTTCTGCTTTGACGCGTAGATTGATCACATATCTATCCCACCCCAGCTGTCCAAGGACCAAAGCGAAAAAGCAAAAAAATAACGGTGCGGCGCGACGGGTAACCATCATTCGAGGCAACAAGTGGGACGACACCTGTGTTGAGATGACACTATCCATCCATCTAGTCATCAATGCCCAACCCGATAATGCCATCCATAGTTATGTGCTTGGGCTTCGTTCCGCTGCGCTGGAAGAAACAAAGCAAGCAAGCAAGCTGACTTCGTTCCGATCAGCAAAGCTTCAGCCAACTTGGCCCTGAGAGACCCTCATTGCCACCGAGAAATCCCACCTTTTGCAGCCCTTCCTTGCTGGGATCATTGGATCCTTCTTGCTCTGTTATTCAGTAGCTTCTGTCCTGGAAAGCTCCGTGAAAGCGGCACAGATCGCAACTTGCTCCGCCCGCGGCGCAGACGTTCATGTATTTATATTTTAATTCTTTGTTCTTTTTCTCTTGATTTTGTCCTAGTATCAAGCTGGGGCAGTCGGTATAGCCGTTGCAATCAATTCCAGGGCTGGAGATGGTCTTTTTGCCCTTGTTCTCGCTTGATCAATGCCGAGTCAGGGCACGAATTGTCCCTGGCCGGCTCTTGCGCGAGTCAAAGTACAAGCAGCAACCCTACCTGTATTCATAGCATATTGGTGCGCTGCGAGCCATGCGTTGCTCCTGGAATGCCAGTTTCTTGATGCAGAGAAACACTGCCCTTGAAAAGGGAAACCCCTAATAATCACCACCGCACCACCGCACGTCGTGCCATTGCTGTGTGTCTGTGCCTGCAGGACGGACGGATGGTACGATGACATGACGGTAATGATGACAAGTTCGCTCCGCCACGGCCTGAGCAAACACGAGCCGAAGAACAAGGCAGACAAAAGGAAAAAAAAAAAAAAAAAAAGACAACCCTTCCGGATCGAGTCAAAAGAAGAAAGGAAAAGAGAAAACGCCAACTTTTTCTTTCCTGTCTCTTTTTGATCCTGTGCCGCCCGTCGAAGTCTCTTGCCGAGGCCATTCACATGTGGCGCGGACCGTGGGCCGGGAAGGGCCGTCCGTCCACCACCCAAGAACCCAAGTCAGAGCGTTGCCGTCTGTGCAGGCAGCAAGTCAGGGAGGGGTCTGTATCGCATCTCTTTGTCTAATCAAACAAGAGCAACCAACAATCTATAGAGTTACCTATAGGACCTCACAGTGACGGGGCTTTTGCTCCTCGAGTGACGGGAACACAGAAGCTCTTGACGGTGACTCGCGACAACCAAGCCATCCCTCCCTTTCACTTGCGGCTTGACCACTGCGTCGGTATCAGACAGCCGAGGAAGGGGGGCGAAGGTTGCAGTCTTGCAGAGACGAGTGTTTCAAGTGCAATTTAGGAGCTGGGGAAAGTCTTGCCCAAAGAGGCCTAAATCAGGAACGGGGAACTGGGACAGATGGACACTTTGACATTGCAGTGGGCTTTGTACCCGCTAAAGGTCGGCCGTCTCTCTTTTGTAAAGTTGAGATGTAATTTATATAACTAGTAGTTATTAGTACTAGTAAAAGCTATTCTGACGACTTTGAAAGTCCGAGTTCAGAGTCATCACGAAGTGTTGGTCTTGTCCACAACAGTCTCACTCCATCTCCTGACACAACTCGGCATTCACTGGTCCCTTATTACTTGCTTTCACTGCCAAGTTTTCCATTCAAATTGTTACTATGGCACCCTTACTAGCATTTTCGCCGACGTTACGCTAGTCAGGGCAGCAGCAACTTGGACCATGCTGACGCTGGCTAGCGTATAGTAGTTGCTGCAAGCTTGGACAAGTAAACGTTGTTCACTGGACTGGTTTCCTGAAAGCTACTCACAAGAAGTTCGGCAGTGACATTGACCGCGAAGCACTAGGCTTCTCTAGCAGCGTTACAATAGCCCTGTGCCGGCCGCTCAACCAAGTCGAGCTTGAGCCTGACAAATGGGTTGCGGGACAGATGGTGTGTTTCTAGAAGGCTTCCATCCCTCTGGGGAAAAAGTCTAGGGATTGAAGGGGTGCGAATGTTGTCGTCATGGCCAGTGCAGCTAATCAAACTAACTTTATGTTTTGAACAATTTTCTTGATGTAATACGGGGACTATAGTTACTGTCAGCTGCCGTCTGAATATACCTTGCTATTGAAAAAGGTCTGTATAGATTACCAGGGGGGCAGCAATCGAGGAGTTGCCGTGGCCTGCAGCGCACGTCCGTCCATCTTCGGATGTCGCTGTGCGAAAATGCGCGTCTCCCACACGTGGCCAAGAAAGGCTAAAAAGAATGCAAAGTCCCGTTGATAACCAGCATGGGCTGGGACGGGAAGGAACCTGGTTTGCTTTTTTTTCTCGGCCTCCGCCATATATGCATCGGCACAGCGGCTCGGCGCAGCCGCCTGGCAAAGCAAAACTGTGTGAATCATGGCGTTGTCGCAACTGAGGTTTGGGAGGTGTTTCGGTTATCTTTGGCAGCCAATGCGAGGCGCCAGTCAGTGCGAGACACCAACTGGCAGAAGCGATTCCCGTCTGTATTTTGGATGATAGCCGATGACGAGCTCACTGCCCGTGTAGAGAGCCCGTGTACTAGGGATGTAGGGACTGCATGCAGGGACTGTCGGCAGTTGCGTAGTATTAACCCTATGATATGCCCGTAGGGATCGGCTAGAGCGCTTGCAGGAGGCAGATCAGTCTTAATTTTCTTGTTGTTTTTATTACTTGTTCCAACTTGTAAAGAGACATTTGCAAGTATTTGTAACCTA